GTTTAAGATAGCGTTCGTAATCTTCTTTAGTCTATAAGTAGATAACGATATCGTCTAAGTAAATAATTATAAACTTATTAATAAATTCTTATAAAGTATTATTTATAATTCTCTAGAATATTAAAGAAGTATTAGTAAATCCGAACGATATAGCTAAGAACTTATACTTACTTAATCGTATATTAAAGACGGTTTTTTTAATAGATATCTTTTCTATCTAGATCTAGTAATATTCTTAGATAAGATTAGTCTTTAAGAGCTAGCGAGCGGCTTTAATAGTATTAAGATAGTTCTAGATTCGGAGTAAAAAGTAGATATTCTTAATAGTAATATTATTAAGAAGATAATAGTCGATATATATACGCTATTTATCTCTAGATTTAGATATAAAGAGTATAGAAAAGCTTTATAGACTCTTTAAGAGCTAAATTAGGCCTTATTCTAGTAAGATACGAATTTATCTATTTTATTTATTTCGATATTCTTTCGATAAAGAGTAGTAGAGTAAGTTAATAGATTTAGTATCGTCTATATCGATTTCGTACTTAATATTCCGCTTCGTTAGAAACTTAGTAGATAGTTCTTCTCGAAATACTATTTTAAATCTTTTAAGAATACGCCTAAAACGCCTATTCTTAGTTCTAGATATTAAAGAGGTTACTTTATTACTAAGGCTCTATTCTCGTATAAGATATAAGATAGAAGTCTAGTCGAGTATAGATAGTTTAGAAATCGTCTTCTAAGTCTTTCGAAAGCTAAGTAGATTTAATCCGGCCTCTTTAATACCTTTATAGTTAATAGTTCGAAAAAGTCGAAGAGATATCGAAGTTAATTTTCTAGTTCTATTACGTATTATTATATATAAGTAACTAAAATCCTAGAAAGCGCTATACTTCTTTAGCTAGTTAAGTCTAAGAATAACGTCGTATACGTTCTAATTTAAGATATAGAGTATCGTTCGAGCTTAAAAGTTATTAATAGTTAGGCCTATTATAATAGCTTAATTAGAGAGAGTCGTCTTACTATTAGTAAGATATACTTAAAGAGATAATCTCTAGATAATTTTATAGTTCTTATTTAGTCGCTTAGCGACTCTTCTTAAGATATAGAAGATATCGAAGTCTATATTAAGAAGAACCGTAATAAGATAAGAGTTACTATACTATTCTAGCGACTCGCTAGCGATATTATATCTCTAGATATAATCTAAGTTATAATTAAAGACTTTAATTATATTAATAGCGATATTTATTAAATTATCGAAAGAAGAGTTAGAATCTAATAGATTTATATTAATAGTCTTTAAAGAGTCTATAACTTCTTTATCGTCGCTAGACGCCCTACTATCTAGCGACTCTTTTCTTTTCCTCGATAGTCTCGTTTTATAGACTTCTTCGGATTAGAGTAATCTTTCTTTTAATAGTCGACTTCTTTATAATCGAAGTAGAGACTATTATCTTAATACTTCTAATAAAAGCTACTTAAGAATCTACGTCTATTTCTATAACTACGCGAGATTTTAGTCTTAGTAGACGAAAAGAATTCTAGTCGAAGATCGTTAAGGGCTATCTCGATATTACTATTAGTATTCTTATAATCTAGTTAGATAGTCCGAGAAGATTAAGAAGATTTTCTCGATAAAAATCTTCTTAAGCGATCTCGAAAAAAGGCTATTCTATATATATTAGCTTATATCTCTCTTTCGCTCTTATCTATAAAAAAAGTATAATCTCTATAATTTTAGAGAAATATAGTATCTAGAAGAAGTTCTATTCGATTTCGAATAGCTATTCTAAGCTCTCGTTTAAAGATAAGTAGATATTTAATATCGCTAGAGCGAGAGTCGAGATATAATCGAAGAGTTTCGATCTTTTATCGAAACTCTTATACTATTTCTATTTACTTAAGAAAGTTAAACTCGTCTCGATATTACTTCTATATTCTAATATCGCCGAATATTATCTAGAATACTTTCTTCTATATCTTTTAGTTAGTTAGAAATAGATCGGTTCTAAAACTATATTTTATATCTTAATATATAAGATTTTACTATATTAAGATATTACCTTCGAGATAGAAAGTTACTAGAGTAATACGTTCGCGGCCTATTAGAGGACGTTTATTAACGACTTTCTTCGTATCTAACTATCTTTCGATATAAATTAGCTAGACTCGTATCGCGTCGTTATTCTAATAATCTTTATATCTTAGAGGCTTTTTAAGCTCTATTCCGCTAATATTTTAGAATAAGTCTAACGATAGATACTACTATCTAGATAAGAGTCTAGATACGTTTATCTAGTCTATAGATAAAAGGGTAATCTTTAATAGGCTATTTATAGACGTTAAAGCGAAGGTTTCGGAAGTTCTATAGTATTATAGATAGTCGGCGAGAACTACTATAGTCCTTTCTAGATTTCTAAGGCGATTCTCTTCTAGAAGTCTATATATTCTCTATAGATTAGCTCCTTCTATAGAGATATCGATTTCTAATACTACTATTACTAGAGTTAAGGAAATATTTATATAATATTTAGTATAGAAGAGCTTTCGAGTATAGTTTACGAAATACGAGTAAGAAACGAGTAGAAGATAATATATAATAGAAGAAAGATAAGTAATCTTAAGAAGGATATATTCTTTATAGAAACTTCTACCTCGTCTAGCGAGAGCGCTTTATAACTAGCTCTCGATATTCGAGACCGTCCCTAGCTAAATAGTACTTTATCTTTCGAGAGGCCTTATTATACGCCTTTCTTTAATTAATCTATTATTTTCTATCGTCTACGATAGTATAAATAAATCTAGATAAATCTAGATAATTATCTAGTTTCTACTAGTATAGTTTAAATAAGATTCTAATAAAAGGTTCGTTCTAGTAGTAATATTTCTTCTTCTATCGATATATCGAGCCTCTTAATAATATCGTTATTTATAGTATCTAGGTTAATAGAACGTAATTAAGAACGTTAAAGTAGTCGTTACTATTATATCTTAGTTATATCGCTAGCTATCGTTTATAGTTAAGAGTATCTAAGGATAGCGAGGCTAAAATTTTTAGAGAGAGAAGTTATTATTTACTATTATAATTTATCTTTCTCGATAAGAAATTTTTATCGCTACTCGTTATTCTAAAAGTATAATTCTTATAAGTCTTCGTTACGAAACTAGAAGAGGTTCGTCGAGTATAGAAGACGAGCTTTAAGCTAGAAAATTTCCTTATTAGTTAATTTCGCTATATATCGAGGCGGTTTTATTTATCTTTAATCGACTTCGTATAGAAGAGTATTAGTCTTTTCGGCGATCGACTATACTTCTCTTTTTCTTAAGAGAGTATAGAAGTTCTTATAAACTCTAGTTTAAGGTAGAGAACTATCTCGTCGCCGCTACTAAATATAATTTTACGGAGAACTTATCCTATTTTAATAGGGCCTAGGGCCTCGTTAGACTATATACTTTCTAGGGGTTATATAATAGCGTACGACGCTAGCCGAGACCGAAAGACGGGTCCCGACGTCTTTACAATGCTTGGCACGTAGGGTGCCCATTTTGTCACACTGCCTAGTGAGCCATCGCCATACGCAGCGCTGACCACAGACTCAATAACGGCTGCTCGGCGTCGTTGTGTACCATTGTAGATTATCCTCCATCTTTCGCCTGCCATCGTTCACTGCATCTGAAGCTGCTCGAAGGTGGAGCTGGATGGAGTCGTTGAGAGTAGGGTTGGTCGGAGGGAGGTTAAAAGGACAAACTGATATCATCCTTTGCAACATGAGTGGAAACCCGATCTCTAGTGCGAGGCTCGGCCGTTCCGAAAATAGATACACCACTCACTACAACCATGGAACTTTTGGGTCTTTTGAAAGGTGAGACAACTGATCCTCCCCGTCACTTCCAACTGGCAGCTGACAAGTCGAGGATAGGATGCGTTTGTCGGCTGAGGACCAGTGGTGATTTGAGCTATTGATGCTCCGGAAAGATAGCAGCCAGACACAGTAGTACCACAGAATACCAGCAGATAGATGGAGACCCAAGATCGAGCGCAGTCGAAGTTGTAGGTAGTCGAGTCTCAGCCGTAGCAAGGTAGTGCTACATACAATTGGAGTAGTGCCGGTGGTGCGCGCTGCAGTGAACTGCCAGTGCAGGAGTGTACCACTGTAGCCACGAATCTGGAGACCCTGGCGGGTCCCTCGAATATGAACCTCTGTAGTATCACTTTTAACATTAGCTGCTGCCAGTAGGCATCGTACGCCTGGAACCGGCGAGGATCCGAAGGGATGAGCAGCTTTGCAGGCAGCTGCCTGCTATGTACTGCTAGGAGAATATTTCAAGTAGCACAATACGCGGGATAAAGCCTGGCGAGCCTGTGCAGTGTGACTCCCGCACAAACAGTGGTTGGGGAGGCAGGAGTCCAATCTGCAAAACATTGTACCGAACAAGCGACCTGGCCCATCCATCGGTGATGTACAATGCTAGTAGAGTGTACCATGTACCTATAGACTACGAACCACAGACTTTGCCATTTTCTTCTACAAACTGCTAGTGGTCGACTGTTGACACAGGTTGACCCTCACTTCCTTTCCGCCCCCTTCGTTTAAGTCCATGTCATACGACGGCGACTACTGGTAGTGGTCAAGACTGCTTCCACCACAATTGACCCTACAGGTACACCACACACTGCCAGTCCACTACCTACCTCGCACCTGCCCGTCTCTGGCCACGCCCTTTTGCCTCCCCTCTCCGGCTGTGAGCGGCGAACAATATGCTCAGGCTCCCATGCCATATGAGCAGCGAAACTATCCCGGGAGATTGAGGCTGAGGCTGGACTATAACGCCCTCCTTCATTATACGGTGCAAGAAGCCGGACCGAAGCCTGCGGTGGGCTGGCTTGGGAGACTGCCAAACACCAACAAGATTTACCCCCAAGTAGAATTAACGACCCGAAATTCTGATGAAGAAGTTGTTCGATTTCAGTTTGTTCGCTGTCTTGTGTGGTCACAATGGCGCCAACGCCGCCAGCTCCGAATCATGCAAACGGTCGGCCAGTACCTCGCAACATCCAGACTGGTCGAAATACAATCCACGACCGCCCGACAACTGCAGACCTTAATCGACCGTTGCCGCCCCCTCCCGTGTCGGCGTCTGCAGAAAGCTACGAGATCCCGTCGCTACGTCGAAAACCGGTGCCCCCGTCTCCCGAACCACCTTCGACGAAGTCCAACCACGCCCGGTCATTCAGTCATCCCTTTCCCTCGTTGTTTGGATCGAAAAAGTCGGACAAGAAAAACAACGTTCGCGGTGATGGGGACAGCAATAGTGGGAGTGGACGGCGTGACACACGTCCTGAGGAGAGTAATAGCAAAGTCGCCAGTGCTGAGAGTGCCGCGCATCGGGGTGGTCAATTTGTCACTGGGAGATGCATCACTTGCGACTCAACCGTACGATGGCCACACGACTTGAAGGTGTTCCGGTGTACAACTTGTCTGACAATTAATGATCTCGAAGACAACACTGAAAACCGGGCCACATCTAGTACTGCAGGACCTGGAGTGTCGCCTCCACGCAAACTTATACCCTTGTCGCGTGAAAGAACGAGGGCGTTGATGGATCGATGTCTCAGACAGTATCTCGAATCCTACATCACGGAGGATGAGGCACGTCAACATGCCATCACATTTGCAGGTAACTCCCCTGAGGAAGAGTCATTTCTGCTCGCAGGCACACCACCGGAGGGCTTATTCTACGGCCAGTCTGACCACGACATGCCCGCGCCATCCCCACAACCCAAGTTGAAAGCGCGCAGCCCTTCAGAACCGACCTTGACTCCTCGGCCTCCTCCTCCTCGGCCTCAGCCACACGGTGCAGATGTTTCGTTCATGCGGGGCAGCTCAGCAGAACGCTCCTCGACGTCTGCCCCGATGCGCAATGGATCTCGCGATCTCACAGAGCGTGACTTACATGGGCCTGCCATTGAGGCCCGGACTGATATATTTCGCATGGTGGAGAACTACATCTCGGGGTCGTTCGTCGGCTGTGCCACGCTCAACCAGTCATTCCTCCTGCCGAAACCGCCACAGGACCAGAAGCCACGAGCTGGTTCAGATGCACATCAGAGGCGACAACTATCTGAACCAACGCGCGCACCCACCTGCGATACGGACGTCTTTCTGTCTGAACTCGACGCCAAAACTTTACTGCTTGGCGATGTGGCTGAAAATGGTTCATGGTGGCTAGGTGCCTCCAACGGGAGAGCCGCGGCAAGCAGAGATCCTTATCAGCATAGAGACAGGTCGCCGGATAAAGGGCGCGGCTCGGTAACCTCGAAGAATCCTCGAATCAACTGGGCCGAGCTTGCTGACTGGTATAAATGCATCATCTATGCGGGTGATCAGTGGGAGCAGATATGGCGCGACATGAAAGAAAAATCGTCAGACGCCAAAACACAACAGCGCTGGCAATCCGCTCCAACAGAAAAAATACAGCGGGACATCCTCGAATCTCGAGGCCATTTGCAGCGGTGCTTGCTCAAGGCGACCGAAAATCTGCTTAAACGACCGAGACGGCCATTGAAACACCCAGAGGACGCTCGGTTTCTGCTGATATTGCTGTCAAATCCACTTCTTACCCCGACGAGGATTGAACCTGGCAAGGTGGTAGGAAGACCGACGGACGACCGGTATCCGGGCTCTCCAGCCAAACGTGCGACTAGCTCAGGCAGACGGCCCGGCAGTCTGGGGCATCACTCAGGAATTATCAAGCGTATCTTAGGTCTAATGGCCAACCTTCCCAATGACGTCCACCATTGTCTTGTCTCATGGTTTGCTAGGTACTCGGATGGGCATTTTCAACGGACAGTGGAAATGGTAAACAGCTTTGTGACTTATCGCCTAGCCCGGCAGCAGAAACGTCCGGTCCAAGCGCCTGTCAATCCTACAGAGGGCCTGGTACCTAGCTTTTCGGAACCGGGCATGCATCATGCTTCCCAAATTCATGCCGCCCTCGGTGGGAGACCTTCCTCGACCTCGGCGGGAAAATCCGACGGCAAGCCCAAGTTGGCTTCATACGGCGAAGATTGGCAGATCCGGGCTGCCGCCAGAGTCATGGCTCTGTTGTTTCAAGCCAATGTCGGACACAGTGGGAGGAGAAGAGACGGTCTAGGGTCTCAAGAGCAACGACTACTCGGTACTGGACATGGACTGAAACTTACCGGGTCATCTTATGGCCAGATTATTCCGATCAGCAGCTTTTACAACACCATGCTGGACTATGCGGACTTGGTTGCCGATTTTGAGACCTGGGAAACCACCAAGAGCAAATTCACCTTTTGTCAATATCCATTCTTCCTCAGTATATATGCTAAAATCCATATTCTCGAACACGACGCTCGACGTCAGATGGAGGTCAAAGCAAGAGAGGCCTTTTTCGACAGCATCCTCAGCAGGAAAGCCGTGAGTCAATTCTTGGTCCTCAAAGTCCGGCGGGATTGTTTGGTCGAAGATAGTCTTCGCAGCGTGTCGGAAGTTGTGGGATCTGGCGGAAGTGACATCAAGAAAGGGCTGCGGATTGATTTCCAGGGAGAAGAAGGCATTGATGCGGGTGGAATCCGCAAAGAATGGTTCCTGCTCCTCGTCCGAGAGATCTTCGACCCCAACCATGGATTGTTTGTTTACGATGACGACTCCGGCTATTGCTACTTCAATCCTTACTGTTTTGAGTCTTCGGAGCAGTTCTTCTTGGTTGGGGTCTTACTCGGTCTCGCCATCTACAACTCGACGATTTTGGACGTGGCGTTTCCGCCCTTTGTCTTCAAAAAGTTACTAGCCTCTGCGCCTTCCACGGGTGACAAGCTGACCTCGACGCCCAAAGTTGGCCATGGATTCACCTTGGAAGATTTGGCGGAATTCCGTCCCGCACTTGCGCGTGGGTTTAAACAGCTTCTAGAATTCGAAGGAGATGTAGAGGAGACTTTTTGTCGAGACTTTGTGGCCGAGATGGATCGCTATGGTGAGATTGTTCAAGTCCCACTTTGCCCGGGGGGTGAGAAACGGGCAGTGACCAATGCAAACCGACGGGAGTTTGTGGATCTTTACATCCATTACCTGTTGGAGACTTCTGTTGCGCGCCAATACGAGCCCTTCAAACGCGGATTCTTCACCGTGTGTGGTGGAAATGCACTATCACTGTTTCGACCCGAAGAGATCGAACTCCTCGTGCGAGGCTCGGACGAGCCGCTCGACATTGCGAGTCTCCGCGCAGTGGCTACCTACGATGGATGGCCCAAGAACGAAGGACCACCGGAGAAGCAATCCCAGGTGGTGTGGTTCTGGGATTTCTTTGCAAGGGTGTCTCCCGAGGACCAGAGGAAAATCCTGAGCTTCATCACTGGAAGTGATCGCATACCAGCCATGGGGGCCACCAACCTCAACATTCGCATCCAGCTGATCCGAAGCAAAGACGAATTCGACGGATTGGGCCGTCCGACGAACAAGCCGGTTGAACGGTTTCCCATCGCCCGGACGTGTTTCAACACGCTCAGCCTGTACAGATACAGTAGCCGGGAAAAACTAGAACACAAACTCTGGATGGCAGTCACGGGCAGCGAGGGTTTTGGATTGAAGTAGACCGGGGGAATGGGGGAGTAACATGATGAAATCCGGCCTTGTTTTACGTGCTTATGGCAAGAAAATGGACATGGAACGGTTGATTTTTGTATTACCAGGAGCGCCGGCGTCGGGGGACATTGTGGTTCACGGGGATTGGAGCAGGACACGAACTGGAATGATACCCACACTACATACGCGGCCATGAGTGCTTGAATGCATCGATTTGGACCGGGGGGGCGGCAAATAACCAGGAGACGGTTTACCATGGAATGGACTGCTAGGTGCCGCCGGTTGGATTGCAGCCACGCCTGGCAGAACTGGCTGGGAGAAATGAATATAAGAGATGTGAATGAGGAGCATTGGGACTGCAAAGAGTGGGGTATCGTCAGACAGACCAGCATGAGTCTTGAAGAAGAGAGCAGTGGCATTGATACTGGCATTGGTATCGTATAGCGTTGCATACTGTACCGGTAGCTTTTGTTCACACGAAGAAAATGTCGTATTAGCAGTATTCAAAATATCTTTATGAACTCGAGAATATGTTGTATTTCATTCCCATCTAACGGTTGCTATGAGATTGTCGGCGCGGCTCCGTTTCTACCGTGCTGAATGATCGTAGTAGTACCTAACTGTGTGTTAATGCAAAGGGAGTGAGGATCGCAATAAAACATTTCCACAGCGGTTTTCCAACCAGAAGGGAGGGTGGATTGGTTGTACATTATTCAGCTCGAAGTCTCCTAAACTACGATAAGTATTCTTTCCTTGGTATTGTGAGAGTTGGGTCGAAGTCCCTTGGGATCGGAAGAAAGATATGCGCGCATGGTGGGTATCGACCTACCTCAGCTACAAACGTTACGGTCAAGGAGATGCGGTGAGACAAAGTTTCAAAATTCTTCATCACCGTCTTCGAGGCTGGGAAGCTTCTGGATGCGTGCCCGCCGAGGGGGGTAGGAAGGGACGGGGGACCCGATCTGCATTGTGAGACTAGCTAGCTACAGCCAGGTACCTCAGGCTAGAAATGTATTACTTCTACGCTGTAGCTGTACATACATGAGCTGAGGTGGGCAGTAGTTGGAAAGATTGCTGAAGTGAACAAGATACCTATGAACATGACTCTCGTTCCAATCTCCGTTATGGATGTACATTAATCGGTGAACAGAGCTGCAGCATACGCCTGCCGGCGGAGGGGCTAAAAATGGAAAGCTTGTCGGGCATTTGCACGCAAGTCCTGAGCTCTGAGTTCTGAGTATTTTGCGATAAGACCGACACAAGCACCAAACGATGATATCTCGGAGTCCAGTATTTCTCAATGCAACATTTCGCCGATCGATCTGGTTGGGGTCTTTTAGGCCCATCGGAAGTCGGTCGACGACGCCCATTGTTCAGCTTTCGTGCTCGGCCGTTCCCGTTGTGGCCAAAACTGCCCGAGACGAGTCTTCGAAGCAACGAGAATCGCCCCGCACTCGCGCTCGCCCTCGGCCGCTGGAGCGCCGTTGTTGTCATTGCTGGCATCAGTGTGGCATCTCTCACCGCATAGTAGGAGTATGATGATACCGTAGTTGCTGGACCCCTGGCGCACCCCTCAACATTTATTTTTCCGCATATATTTTGTCTTTTTCATCGGCTTCTTCTGCCCAGTTCCAGACCTGTAGCACCTCTTACACCTCTTGCACACACCTTGCTCACATTGCAATCGTTGTTGAAACCGTTCAGATATCCTCACACTTGTCACAATGGGTTCCTCGGAGCTTCCGTCTAAGATGAAGGCGCTGAGTATGTCCCACACACCTATAGCTTCCTGTCTGAGAACTGCTTTCACTGACCTCGATTGCAGAATACGATCAGCCTGAGAAGTTCAGCGTCGTCGAAGTGCCTCTGCCAAAACTGCGTGACAACGATGTCCTTGTATGTGACCAGACAACAACAAAAACAGCCGGACAAAAGGAGGAGTTGCTGACAGGGCGGTGTAGATCAAAGTCAAGGCTTGCGGCGTGTGCGGTACCGACTTGCACATCCACGAAGGAGAGTTTCTGGCCAAGGTAGGGCGAGCAAGCGTCGAGTACTTTGCGTTGCCTGCCACTGACCACTGTTGCAGTTCCCGTTGATCCCTGGTCATGAGACGGTCGGTGTCGTGGCAGCGGTTGGACCCAAGGTCAAGGGCTTCAACATTGGTGACCGTGTGGTTGCCGACAACTCCGAACTCTGCGGAGAGTGCTTCTACTGTCGTCGAGGAGAGGAGCTGCTCTGCGAGGACTTCCAGGCTCATGGTGTCACCATGGATGGCGGGTTTGCCGAGTACTGCGCCTATCCGGCCAAGCGGGTATTCCACATCCAGAACCTCTCCGATGTTGATGCCACTCTCCTCGAGCCGGCCTCCTGCGCGGCCCACGGGCTCGACAAGATTGCACCCAAGATGGGCTCCAGTGTGCTCATGTTTGGGGCGGGACCTACAGGTCTGGTGTTAGCTCAGATGCTCCGTCAGAACGGTGGTTGCAAGGTCGTTATTGCAGCCCCCGAGGGCTTGAAGATGGATTTGGCCAAATCGTTGGATGCAGCGGATGAGTACGTCGCACTGTCGAGAAAGGACCCCAGCGCACAGTTCGAGAAGCTCAAGAAAGACAACCCATACGGCTTCGACATTGTCGTCGAGGCGACGGGCAGCGTCAAGATCCTCGAGGATGCCATCAACTATGTTCGAAGAGGCGGGAAGCTCGTCGTGTATGGCGTGTACGGCAGCAAGGACCGTGTTACGTGGCCGCCGTCCAAGATCTTTGGCGACGAGATCACCATTCTCGGCTCCTTCAGCGAGACTTACAAGTTCCCTGCTGCCATTGACTACCTTGGTATGTTTTCTCGTAGCCCTAGGCTGGTGATTGAATCGTCCATGCTGACATTGCGCTGTACAGACTCCGGAAAGGTTAAGGTCAAGGGTATCGTCAACAAGACATTCAAGCTCGATCAGTGGGCCGAGTGTCTTGAGTCGATGAAGAACAAGAGCGCCATCAAGGCAGCCATTGTTTTCGACTAGAGGGACGCAAGGTGCCCTAGTAAGGCTCCCTGTCGAACATGGTGGGGAAAAATGAGTAGCACAGTAGGAGGGGCATGAGGAGTCCTTCCACGTCCGGCTCGATGAATCCGAAACTTGTCAAAAGCACAATTAGTCAAGCATTTGTAGGCAAATGTGAAGTGGAAGTAGAAAAAGCGAGTGACAATCCAGAGGAATGAAGCCGAGTATTTCATCTCCCGTCACCCTTGTTCATGCTTGAATGGACCCTGCGCCGCTGATGATCGACGACTAAAATAGAGCGGGATGTTATTCTCCGCCCTTGTTTAATTCATTCATCTTCCTTGTTTCTGTCGTCTGCTCAGCTGCCAACGTTTTCCAAGGAGCATGAATGTGCCTGGGAGAGTATTGCTGTCTTTCTCACACCTTGCGCTTTCGTCTAGGAGGCATCCAGCTCTTTGCCAGCGGGCTTCTGAACTTCTGCTGCTTCGACCTCAAGGAGCTCAGCAGGCAATCGGCGATAGCTGCTCGATAATGAGGACCTTAAAAGGCCTGACGATTCGCTCTAGATTGACGACCGGTCTGCCCGGATTGGCTGGGTCGCTGACTGCGCGTTGTTTCACGTGCTGAAGGTAGGACTCGAAAGGTCAGTGTTGTGGTAGGCTGAACCGCCCCGTACGCCTTGAACGTAGGTGTGGTTGTTTATCGTGTATAAACTGTCTGCACTGGCAGGGACCATAACAACCGACGAGAAGTACCGATGAAGAGTGTGGAGGATGCACAAAGCTAGTTGGGCATTTGCCGCGCGTGCTGAATCCGCCTCTGAGGTGTTCTCGAAGGTAAGGGCGACGATGGATGTTGCCATCAAACTGCACAAGAAGACTATGCCTCGAGTATGGCTATGACCATAAGTCGATGAAGATTCAAATGAGAGTCATGTTAATAGCAAAATGCGGTGGCCAATAGTGTTGGCGGTGTTGCGGTGTTCACGAGAAGTGCATGTCGGCGCAGAGGGAGGCCTCCCTGGACATCAACACCAGCACCGCTCTACAGAAACACAACGGCGGCCTCCTCGAGCAATTGTCGCAGCTGGCCGTCGCAGATGAACCTCACTTCCCCGACCAGCCACCTCATTTCCTACATGCGCTCAACCTCAGTCGCACATTCTAATTCTCATTTTCTTTTCATATCTCCTCCATCCTTCAAACCTCCATTCCAAACCATCATCCTTCAACTACACTTCCACAAGCAAGAAGCCATCTTCAAAGCCAACTGCACGTCTAAACCTCCTATCTCAAACACATCCTCATCCTCAAGCGAACGTTGAAACGTCAAAATCACCTTCATCATGTCTTTCAGTCTCCCAGTCCGAGTCGCAGCTCCGCGAACCCTCTGTCTTGATCCTATCTTCTCCCTCCTGTACGAAGACAACGAGGCCAGCTTGACCCATTTCCTCAAGAACCAAGCGCCTCTCCCAATCAAGGGGATCATCAACAACCCAACGGTCATGGACTACCTTCTCAGTCGAGAAGCGGGTCCCAAGGTCGAATACAAGAACCTCCGCCCAGCTTTGGCTGCCTTGCGTCCCTTCCTGTCTCGCAGCGCCAACGGCAAGACTCTCCTGGCTTTCTACCGCAAGCTGCTCCAACTCCAAGGTCGCTGGGTCATCGCCGCTGCGGAAATGGTGACCTTTGACATGTACACCAAGCTGTACCAAGCATTGTTCATCGACCGCAACGACCAGCGCCTGCTGGACCACATTGTCAAGGTCGTGCCGAACGCCGCTCAAATCATCGCCACCAAGACCACCTGCACCGCCGAGCAGTTCGCTCTAATGGTCCAGGACGAGAAGGAGCGTCTTGCCAAAGACACCCGCGCAGCCGCCGAGAAGCTGTTTGACTACAAGGTCACTAATGAGTTCTTCCAACAACACGGCAAACTGCTCGCTTCCATTGAAATCTGCGAGAAGCAGTTCAAAGCAGCTCGTGCCCGGTTGAACCGTCGCCGTCAAGAAGCAATGGACCGACGAGCTGCCGGCTTGGTCACTGCCTATGAACGAAACATCGCCACTCTTCCTCGCCAGATGGGCATGGCTGGCATGACCCCCAGCACTGCAGAGATGGAACAATCTGTCATCGAGTGGGCTCAGAAGGCCGGCCGCATGTGCTTCAACACCCCCGATATCCCGGCCGCTACTACCAATAATTGAGCTCAGTAAGTGCGCTTTTCGCTTGTTTAGTCATTCACTGCTAACATTGGCTACTCTAGGACGGCAAGCGCTGTCAAGGAACACGGTGGAATCATCCACCAGCATTAACGGCGCGAGAACACCAATGCGAACGAGAAACGTCGATCGACCAAGGACAGACAACGGTTGGGTCAATACGAAGCAGCTTCAGGCTACAGAAGGCCGGCTCTTGTGGTGGAGCAAGATATGAGCTAGGACCAAGTCATAGGTCTTGATATCACACAAAGGGTCCAAGCCATCGAGGAAGAATGTCTCCTCATATGCTCTGCCTCAGCAATAGGTTTAGGCGAATTCGAATCATGGCAAAGTCCAAACAAAGCATGAATCGACGCCCAAGTTCCAGCTTGATATAGTTGGGCTGATATGCGAAACACTTTCGCAAGTTCATAGCAAGTGAGAGCTGAATGAAACAATTGATCACTGAAAATAACAACTTCCACACCCCGTAGCACGTAAAAGCAGATGAAATATAAGACACTGGAAATTACAGTTGATTGGAAAAACTTTCTAGCCTTGTGGTATTGGGTTCTTGCTTTTCTGTCAATTCGTTCCGCTTCTGTCTGCATGTTACAGGTCCTGAGTGCGCCATTCTTTTCGTCATCATGCCCGTAAATCATGACCACGTCCCCAAAGGCTAGAAAAGGGCGAGGAGATGGAGCAATGACCGACTCGACGCACCATGGCCGCAACCGCATACACACATGCAAAAAGCACACACGAGAGCCCACCATCGCAGCAAACTTGAGATTGCCCACGATGATCGGGGACCTTTTTTTGGGATTCTCGCGCGCACTGTGTCTCTGACCTTCTCTCTTGTCATCCCCAGACCTTGGAAAACCACCATACGCACAAAAACCACAGAAAAACCCCCCGGTGTGCATATCACGCCCCACGACGCATCGTCTACTTCCGGATAGCTCTCTGGTAGAAAGCCAACTCATCACCCTCGAGGATGTAACCGTCGACACGGCCGCTCTGGCCGGGTCTGGAGCTGACGACGGCGTAGAGTCTACCGGCCTCGAATTGGCGTTCCAGGGCAACGTCAAGCTTGCCGGCCTTCTTCAGACGAGCCTCACGCTTGGCCTCGACACTGTGGCTGACCTTCTTCTCCTCAACCGGCTCGGTGCCGGCCTTCTGGCCATGGCGTCTGCGGCCGATGGTGGTGCCGTAGTGGGCTTCGTACCAGGTACGGAAAGGGGTGGCGTCGACTTGGACCACGGCCGACTTGGTCAGAGTGTTTGTGCGGACGAATTCGTTGTTGGACGGGTGGTAGGCCACGACAATCACGCGCACCTTGCGGGCAATACCCTCGCTACCCCACGAGAAATTGCCGCTCTCCAGACGCAGCGCTCGGTATTTCGTGTTGCCGCCTCGCGTGCGCACCAGGTGGATTCGCTTGTTGCCGATACGGGTGTTGGCTGGTTGACGGCCCTTCTCGAAAGCTCTGCAAAAATGTATCCCGTTAGACAACGTCTTGCCATGGTTTGAATGTTCCAATCTCCCGCTTCGAACAATATCTTCCGCCGCTCCTCCAGGGGACTGCAGGTTATATGTACCTCTTCTTTCTGTACGAGGCGCGCTTCGCACCAGTTGCGGACCGCTTGTGGCGGCTGTCTCGTGAGATACCCATGATTGCGAAACCGAAGAGGACTGTAGACAAGATTTGACAACGGTCAGCTGAAAAGATCCTAAGCAAAAGATTGTTTGGAGTTCGGATTCTGGTAGTCGGCAGAATTGACAAGATTGTCGCTTGTTCAAACCCAGTCCAGACTTCGTTCACTCGGTGTTGCTTGGATTCGTAGGAATGCGGATGCAGGAGTTGCGTTGCGCAAAGGGAGCAGTACTGACCTGATAGTCACCAGCTCTTCAGGCGAGCAACGAGAGTATGCTTTCGAGGAATTGACGTGGGTTGGGTGAAGTTGGGTTGTCGTATCGTCAAAAGCGACTTAAGATCGGGTCGTTGTCTCGACGTGCGCACTGCAGGATGTGCGGCGCCAAGACTTTTGTCCGCCAAGACCACTTTTTTCCACACACGCACTCTGCACGCACTCTGCGCCGGCACAAGGCCCGCCGCACCCAGTGATAGTGCGATAGTAGTCGACGACTTTGAACTTCAAAACTTCCCAAAAGTTCCCTCTTCATCACCACCACCACAACCACCCGATTTCCTGCATTGTGTGCGATTCCCCGAAGAGCGCCAGGAACTCGCAACAATGTACGTATTTACATTCTCTTGCAGTCGCTTACGGCTACAAAGACACATCCAGCTGACTCCTACGACTGCAGGCTTATCCCCAAGGCAGACCGCAAGAAGATCCACGAGTACCTCTTCCGTGAGGGTGTGCTCGTGGCCAAGAAGGACTACAACTTGCCTCAGCACCAGGACATTGAGACCAAGAACCTCTATGTATGTAGCCATGCTGCCCAGCGCATGCTCTTTCGCCGATCGCAACAAAATGCTAACTATTCTCTTGGTACATAGGTCATCAAGGCGTGCCAGTCTCTCACCTCCCGTGGGTACCTGAAGACGCAGTTCTCATGGCAATACTACTACTACACCTTGACTCCCGAGGGTCTCGACTACCTGCGCGAGTGGTTGCATCTGCCGGCCGAGATTGTGCCAGCGACGCACATCAAGCAGCAACGATCCCACGCTCCTCCTCGTGGCATGATGGGTGGTGATGACCGTGAGCGTCGCGGCGGTGGCCGTGGCGGCCCAAGAGGTGACCGTGAGGGTGGATACCGTCGCCGTGATGCTGGTGAAGGCAAGGAAGGCGGAGCCCCTGGCGAGTTTGCCCCGACTTTCCGTGGTGGATTCGGTCGTGGCCGTGGTGCTCCTCCTGCCGCCTAAATTGGTTCGTCTCCAACATGAGGATGAACCTGGTCTGGCATGGCATGGCTATGCATAGGAGATAGGCTCGAGTTTTCACAAAGGACCGGCCAAAACAAGTCAAACTTGGACAGGAAGCTGTATCGAGGTGTCAGACGCAGTGGCAGCAGAAGCTCAATGGTCTGCGAAGCCCAGTCCAGCTGCAAGCTCATAAAGTCAATGCAGAAACTTCTTGATCTGATCATATGTTCAATGCATGGGACTCTACAGAAGGCCACCTCGAGCGGGATTGTAACGTCTTCAAGTTGAAGCTGGTAATCTTAACTATCTCCCTTTGTCGTGACAAGCTTGCCCTCTGATTCATTCTGGATGACATGGCCGTTACGGTTCATGTCTTCTGTCCGAGTCGTCGATACCATGTCCCCGATAGTCGTCTTTTGACCGAGTCACAATGCTCGCAAATACTCCATGATGACTTCGTCGGAGAGACATAAAAAAGCGTGCAAGACCCCATCTCCCCATCTCCACCTCCATCTGCAGCAGCCATAGTCATCCGCGTTGCGTAACCCGGTTCCTGTTCAGGCCATCAGCTCAGCTACCTTCATCGAATCGTCAAGACAAGATCCCGCCCGAAACAACCGCGGCGGTCCAGTTGATACGAGGAGTAGAGCGGCAATCCTCTTCAAGATGACAAACAAAGAATACGACCATATCGCTCGCTCAACCGGGCCATGATCCTGCTCTGAACCCTAGTAGTAGGCTGTCAAGTTCGGCTTTTTCCGGGAATAGATCGAGAGTCGCCTGTGGCTGCTTCAAGGCGCGCATCACAATGCCTCCTCCGCGCCCTCTCTCTGCGTCGATTCCATCCCATCCTGACGACATCTCATACTGGCCTGGTTTCCACTGAAGTGGTGACGAATGAAAGCACCCTAAAAAGAACTGTTCGATTGGGAGAGGCGGCATGAGAAGCTGATCGCCAGGAGTCAAAAAACTGAGCAATGCTCTGCACAGCTCAACAAAGTTCAGTGGCAACTGTTGATGTTCAGCCTTTAGTCTCCCGCTCCACGCCATAGACCTTGAACAGCTTGGTCTCGTCCTCCGGAGGCGGCGTCAACCCCAGCGCGGCTTCAATCTTGTCCGAGAACATCAGCATGGCTGAGGCATTGACCATAAGGGCAACACCGATGATAGCCCGCGTTTTCGGGGTGAGAGCTTTGTATGAACTGTTTCCATAGACGTCATGTCATCAGAGTCAGTTTGTGAACTCAAAATCTCGACCGGGCCAGCCGAGGGGCTTCAGAAGGTAGAAGAAAGAATGCCAACAGGAACAGGTTCAGGTTCGGCTTTGGGATCGTGTTCGCTTGGGTCTTAACTTACGACCAGAGCGTCATCTCGACAATAAGAGTTCCTCCAATACTTATGATTCCAGTCCCGGTACTAGTAGTGCTGATTTCACTTTCGAAGAATCCCCGAGCAACCTCCTGTACGAAAATCCCGTGGCTAGTAGTATCGCATACTGCGGCTTGATGGGGACAACTTCAAGTTCAAGTTGATGAGGTTAAAAGCTCCAAAGTGATTGGTTGTCAAGATTATGTAATGACCGGAGAAGTATTGAGACACCACACGCAATGCCAATGGACAGCCTACGACTACGGCGCCTTACAAATCGTCAGACGCAAAATGGCGTGCTCAATAGACGAGGTATGTTCTTGCTTCTGACTGGCTGATTCTCGTCTCCTTTGGCTGAGTGGACTCCCCCGGCCCCTGAGTCCTGTCAGGAGCGTGATGTGGAGAGTGTTCCTGATATGCTCAGCCTTGCTTCATAGTAGAGATGTCTATACCAAAGATTCCTGGTGGTTTATTCAGGAATTCCTGTCAAGAGAGGTTGAGCGACATGCCAGACAGGTGTACAGCGCTTCCCCGCACTGCCACTTGGACGTCGGCCAGTAGCACGACTGGTTTACCCTCCATGTCGGGGTCTGTCGGGCACTGGCGTCGCGTCGGTGTACCGCCATGGACAGAACAACCTCACTTCTTGTCCCTCTCCACCCCTCTCTCTCGCTGGACATGATCGGATTCAGTGCTTTCAGAACTTACCGTGATTGCCTCCCCTGTTGATTCATTGCTCAGGACTGTAACGTATACTGTGCGTCGAAATGACAGTGGTAAGAAGACAACACCCTGAGCGTCTCTCAGTCAAACACCAAGTTGACCCGTTGGGTAGGGAAAGGTTTGTCCGGTGGACGATGGCACTGTTGAGAAACCAATCAACAGGGAGGCCCCCATGATCGACCTAGTCTCTAGGTGAGTGATCGTAGCACCAGAGAAGACGAGACACTGATCCCTTGCAAACAGCTTCATCACCCAAGGCGACAATTTCGACCGAAACCATGGCCCGATTCAACATAGGATAGCACAGGACCACCGTGTCCAAGTTGACGGTCTTGTTTCCAAGCCGTTGCACCTCACCGTTGACCAACTGGTCAATGACTTCCCTCAACACTCCGTCACATGCACGCTGCAATGTGCGGGAAACCGTCGCCATACCATGCGTACCCGCATCAAAGAGGTCCTCGGTGTGGACTGGTTAGACGGCGCGGTGATGAATTGTACATGGGAAGGTCCCCGAGTTCGTGACATCCTACTCGCCGCCGGAGTCGACGACCCTCAAGTCATGCATGACGGTGTATCACCCAGACATGTCCAGTTCGCCAATTACGGTGGCAAGACCCAGCATGATGACTGGTATGGAGGCAGCATACCCTTCGATAGGGCCATGAGTCCGGAAATGGATGTGATCCTGGCAGTCAAGGTTTGTCAGACTCTGCATGACGCTGTCGCAGTCCGGGCGCGTGCTGATTCCTGTCACCTGTGGTTCAGATGAATGGTGCGCCCTTGCCCGCTCGTCACGGGTTCCCCGTCCGCGCAATTGTCCCAGGCGTGCTTGGGGCTCGTTCGGTGAAATGGCTCGATCGCGTCACAGTTTCCAACCAGGAGTCGCCCTGTTTCTATCAACAGCGTGATTACAAAATCTTACCACCAGAAGCAGTTGATGCCGAGAGTGCAGAGAAATTTTGGGCCAAGTGCCCGACAATGCTCGAAATGCCCATCAACTCTTGTGTCGCATGGCCGACCTCCGAGGCCGCCATCCGTTTTCCGGCATCTGGCCTGATTGATGTGCTCGGCTATGCCGTTCCACAGGGTACCCACGGCCCAGTTGTCCGGGTACAGGTCTCTGGGGATGAGGGCAAGACTTGGACTGATGCACATCTTGAAAATGGTGGCAAATTCGCAAGCAAATGGAGTTGGGTCCTGTGGCACGCAAGAATCAAGATCGAGAGGGGACATGGTAGGAGAATATTCTCCAAAGCGACCGATGCTGGCGGTAATCAACAAACCCTCGAACGATCCCCCTGGAACTTGAGAGGAGTTGCCTACAACGGGTACGAGGCTGTCTATGACCTGACCGTCATTTAGAGACAGGATCTGCACTTCATGCTGTTGATCTTGTAGCGCAACGCCGGCATAGGCCCAGCTGTTTGTGTCTGACTTCTGCTGAAGCGGCTTGATAGTCCCTAGAAAGTGTTGGGGTCGAATGTATCGGGTTGGGCATCAAGATCAACAGTTACACAGGGCGATCGAGCTGAGAGTGTTTGGAAAGATGCCTGGTCCTTTTCACATGCAAAGTACAGCTTGGGCTTCCATACTTTCGTCCTGTCGAGTTGCAAGGAAAGTCCAGCCTGGCGACTTTTCGACTGCGTTCGGCGTCGACTGAAGATATCGATCAAGGCGTGAATGATGAACGATGAATGATTTCTTGTAAAGGTGTAATTTCTCTGCGTATCGAAGGCCTCCTCCTCAGCCACCCAGGCTTCACCCAGCGGCCGTCGAGGGGGCTGTCTAAATTCAGACCCCGGTGCCCCGGACTGTCAGATGGTGCACGGGTGTCGGCAGGAGGCGCCGCGGCAGGGCTCAGGATCAAAATGGATTGGTGGTAGAACCATCCCTGCACTCACCTCTCTGCATATTGGCGTCTGGTGTCTCTCGGCAGGTCAGAAAGAGAAGCTCTTCACAGCTCGACCATAGGCTGCAAGGCACCATGACGGGCTGCTTCACACAACGTTGTGCTGCACGGCAGACATGGCAGGCAGATATGGAGTGACCATGAATGTCAAGCTGTACGAGGCATACCACAATGGAGGGGCATTTTCTAGTTCCTTGTGGTACCGTGGTACCGTTATCCATCAGTGTCTTTCCACTAAATATGGGTGCGCCACCGCGGCCATTAGTCTCCGTGAAGAGCCAACCATGCGGCATGGGTGGTTGTACATGACAGGTGATAGAAGTCGTTCTTCTGGCGCAAGAAAGTTGTATCTACCTAGGCTGCAGTCAGCTACTTCAAGTTTTGTGTTTGTCAGGGCGCTCTCCCGCCCGCATCCCGAGCTTTGGGCAAGTTCCACGTTTCTGGGATGCTCGAGCGTCTCTACTCTGGCCCACGGATAGCCGAACGAGAAAGCTAGGTCCTTTGAGCTCGAGCTCCACAGGCGGTCGGATCCATGGCAGGGTAGCTAGGGGTCTGAAACAAGCCACTACTGGACGGCGAAGAAACTGGGGACTTTGACACTTCCGTTTGTACGAGTTCCGCCACGGTTACCTGCACAAAAAGAACATGTCAGTGCTGCAGACATCCAGAGGAACAATGCAAAAGGAACGTCGTTTGATCAAGGTAGAACTTAGACGGCTCTGCTTGCCTTGAACGCAGCTTTACTGCTGGGGTTGCGGGCACTCTGCTCCGGCTTCCATCAAGCACGTAGGACGGCATAAGCCCAAGGCCAAGGTACCCTCGTCTGTTCCCATAGCGAAAGGCTCCTTAGGCCAAGAGTCGCCGCCGACCTGCAAACAATGGTTGAGATAAGAACCTGGAACATTTCACCACAAATGCAACCAATGTACAGTGGACGATGGCATAATCACCGAGGAGAACACATAGACACACTAGCAGACAAGCAGCAAGCGATACAGGAACAAAATAATGTCGAACTTGAAGACGTGCAGAGTTGACGGGATTGATGAGAGTGACAGTGACAGCCACAGACAGTGTGCAGCTGGAACATGAAGCCGGGGGGTAGCAGGCGTTAAAGATTAGCAGCTGGACGATGCTGGACGATAGCGGCTGTGGTGAGCATTTGCAGGGCCTTATTGGGCGCAGGCAGTAATCGAGCATAAGCCAGGAAAAAATTCCGATTCCCGCGTCAAACAGGCCCAGCCTGAGCCTGAGCGGCGTCGCTCGCTCACTCAGCATGCCTGGCACTGCGGTGCAGTGGCAGTACAATCATCCGTTCAAGTTGCCTGTGTCGGCCAAATCAGGTCAGGTCAAGTCAAGTCTCCCGGGTCCAAATTTGCCTCGAACTCCATCCAAAGTTACTCCCGCTCTCCCCCATTTCTACCTTAGGCCGCAGTCTGTAAACTCCTCGATTACAGTACATCCTTGATACTGTACCTGTTGCCTCTCTTTCATCCGTACTGTATCTTTGATTTGCAGGGATTGATTGATTGATTGAGTTGGGTTGAGCCGAGTTGATTGAGAGACGTCTGCCATTGTGTCTTTGATCTTTTTCGCATCATTCCCGATCTGTTGGAGTTGGTCGGGTTTCTGCCGTTTCTGACTCGACTTCGGAGCTCTTCGTCCTGGCCATCTACTTTGGTAAATTTCCAATGTGCCGCCGGAGTCTCGATATCCTGTGGGCTAACCAGACCGTAGCACGGCCTATTTCTCGCTTCGAACGAACATCAATCGAACGCCGTCTCCCCGTCGTCCGTTGACTTGTTCGAACACGCAAATTCCACTGCAACAAAGACCTCCGTTAATTCATCATGGCTGCGACTGCTCCACCCGTTCCCAAGCTCGATCGGTATGTGGTCATCCACGTGGCGACCACCTGCGATGAACACGGTGTCTATGTGACGAAAGATTCTGCGGAGGTGATTGAGCTGGGCTGGATTCTGCTGGACAGCAAGACTTGTGACGAGGTATGTGGTGGCTGGTGCTGGACGGGAGACGGACCAGGCAGATTCCAGGGAGAGGAGAACAGACTATTGACGCTATTGATTCCAGCTCTATCGAGAGAGTGTGCTCGTCAAGCCCGTGAACACTCCTATCACACCGCTGTGCAGTGAGTCCTGTGTCGGATCGTCGGAGATTTGCAGTCACTGATTTTTGCAATCACAGCCAGCCTCACCACTCTGACCTGGGAACATGTTCGCAACGCCGGTTCCTTCCGGGATGCTATCTCGCGATTTGACCATTTCGCCCAGGAGCATCTTATATCCAAAAACCTGGAGTTCTCGTTTGTGACACTGGACGCCTGGGACTTGCGGGTCCAGTTGCCGCGGGAGGCTCGAGACAAAGCAGTCGTCCTACCGGCCTACCTGCAACACTCGCGGACCTTTGACCTGCGCTCAGAGTACGCCCGGTGGCAACAGCACCATCCAGAGTCCCTGCCATTTGGGCCCAGCTCTCTAGCAAACATTTGTGCAGCGTTGGAGGTGGAGCCTGTGCAATCGTCGGCCCCAATCAAGCACAACCTGCCCTTCCATCTGCAGGCCCTGGCGCCTGCCTCCCCTCGCCGGGCCATGGAAGAGGCGGTCACCCTCGCCAGGGTGCTGCGAGGCCTGATTCGGAAGTCTCAGCCCGCCCATGAACATCCAGAGGTTCTCACTCGCCCCATGGACGCCCGAGCCGATGTCAACGCCTTCTTGAAGGAACGCAGCAAAGTCCTCCACATGAACGGCCTGCCGCACGACACGACCCAGTCGGAACTGGAAAGCTGGTTTACTCAATTTGGAGGACGTCCAATCGCCTTCTGGACCTTCCGTACTCCGGATCAGCATAAGCCAACAGGCTCAGGTTTCGCCGTCTTCTCTTCACATGAGGAGGTATGTCTCACTCTGGGGAGTCACAGAGAGTCTCTCTGGTGCCTCCTTAATACACCTTCTCCCCTCCCTTGCTTCATTTGGTTCTAAGAGCATCTTCCACTCATCTAACATTTCTGTTTCTCCAGGCCGCTGAAAGTCTCTGCATGAACGGACGCGCTCTCAACGAGAAGGCCATCGAGGTCTCGCCTTCATCAAGCCGAGTCCTCGATCGTGCCGCCGACATCCTCACACCCTTCCCTCCCAGCAAGAACCGACCAAGGCCGGGTGATTGGAACTGCCCTTCTTGTGGCTTCTCCAACTTCCAACGCCGTACTGCTTGCTTCAGATGTTCATTTCCGGCTGCGGGTTCTGGAGCGGGTGACCCTTACGGATACAATGCCTACGGCTACGGCCCCTCTCCTCATATGATGGGTCATCCTCCTCACATGGGACATCATGGTCATGGCATGGGACACCATGGGCGAGGCGGGGCTGGCGTCGTTCCGTTCCGCGCTGGTGACTGGCGCTGTGGCGCGGAAGGATGCTCTTACCACAATTTCGCCAAAAACGTCAACTGTCTGCGTTGCGGCGCTCCTCGGTCTGGAGCAGCTGTCGTGGTGGACTCGTCTTACCCATCGCCAATGGGCCCCCCGTCAGAGTTCAGCGGCATTGCCAGCAACCCTGGACCGGCTCCTTACGGGGCTGGTGCTGCTGCCTTTGGGTCGGGCGCCGCCTTTGCTCAGCCTCCGCCCAGCCAGTACGGTATGCCCTCCGGTATGGGTGCGCCAGGTGCCGGGTTTCCCCAGTTGGGCGGCATGACTCCGAGCTACGCCTCGAGCAACATGTCTCACTCGTCTTTCGGCCCGGCTGCCCAGGCTGCTTTCAGTGGCGCGGCCGACACCACTGCCCCTGTCAACGTGCCCCAGAATGGCTTTTATGGAAATGAACCCAACAATGATCCCTTCGCATTCCTTTCCGCCGGTCTGGGCAACTTGAGCGTCGGTGGCGAGAATCAACCACCTCGCCGCAATGGCGGTCCTCAAAGTGCTAAGAGTCCTGCCTAAGCTTGACGGCTCTGATCACTAAATCGCTCGTTCAACCCTCTTTGAAGTCCTCGCATTCCGACCACTTCAACGAGACTGCCCTTGTTGAGCAAAAGTTCCTGCTTCTTCTATGTTTCATGTACTTGACTGTTCCAAATTATGCACATCTGTTTCCTGGTTTGTATGGGCGATAATGGCGGGTGGTGCTGGAGGCTGGCGGGACGGCTGGGGTTCTTATCGACGGCAATGGGGCAATCTTTGCATATGACGGATGACCTAGACCATTGGCTTTGTTTTCTCTTTCAGCCCGTGGACTTGGGACCTCAATCTATCGGCGAAGCGGGTATTGAGGGGATCGGCGGGGGAGAACCGGAGCACCAAAGGTCTAGATACTGAACTGGGACGGGGGATCTGGAAGGATTGTGCGTTGTCGTGTCGTTGTGGTTGTGTGTCTGTGTGTCTACGAGGTATCGCCAGCATAGCGAAGGAGCAGGACATATGGTACTGGACAAAATTGCTACAAACGTTTATTTGGTATGGAATAAAGAAACAGTGGGATGAACATGTACGTGCTCAACCAGGCCCAAGGACACAGATGAACAATGCCGCGAGAGGTTTGTCCTTAGCCAGGAGTTGACACGTGAAGGAAAATGAGCGACATGGACACACAGGGAACCCTTGCAACAGTGGTGCCCACGTTTTACTATACTTTCTCAGTCGAGGCTACAGTACTAGTATATCATGAAATGTTGTGTTTCCTTAGGTATTCACCTGTTTCGAAATTACTCTAGGCTTGGAGTGACGGTATATCTTGTCAACATAGATGCATGTAGAATTAAGGAAAAGCACTGGAAAGCCAGTCGGGGAAAGTGAAGAATTGGTAAAGGCTGTCTTGATAGTAATAGGAAAACACTCTACGGGCAGCTCAGCTACCTAGACGCTCGTGATCACGACCACCAGAGCTTAGGACGCAAGTGAAGTCATTGCACGACACGAGCTGGCGTCCTTGTTCTGTCTCCACTATATCCGATCCTCTCTTTCATTCTTGGCCAGCACCCGCTCGCCCGGGCACACACCTGCGGACCACTGCACATCACGACTTGTACCAGATGCGAGCTCCAGTGTTATACCAGACTAATATCTTCTGCAGGGGGGCAGGGGGCCGTGATGTGTAAGCGGGCTCACGCTCGAAAAGGTGTGCCTGGCAGATCCATAGCTTAGCTAACTCTGGAAAGCCCATCCATGGCCTGCCGAGCTCGGCTCGATCCGGTGTGTGTAATGTGGAAGGCCTCCTCGTTTCTTATTCTTCTTCTCCTCTCCTCCTCTTGTCCATCACTAGTTTCTTCTCTGCTCCCACCTGACGGAGAAAACGGAGCTGCACGTGTTCAGATGGGGTTAGAGTGGGTAGGGTAGGGTAGGAAGGGTAGGGCAAGGATAGGGCTTGGTCTCGAATGGTTGATAGGGAATGGAACGGACTCAAGCGCAAGCGCTCAGGAGGTTGAATCATGGCCGAGAAAACAGGTTCTGAGTCATGTCCTTATCGGTCAGCCGCGATATATTCTGAAAGGGGCAGACGTTGGATAAACGGAAAACGTGCGCTTGCTGGACCAGCTGACTAATCTCTTCCTCTTCCTCTTCCTTTGGGCTGGAAACCATCATCAGAGATCGGTGTCTCAGCTTGGGCTTCAGCCTTCAGTGTAGTAAGCAGGACATTCTCCAGGACTCTCCCGAATGTAGACACCACACAGTCTAGGCCTCTTGTTCTTGGTGCGCATTCGAGGTTCAATGTTCATGCCGTTAAGAACGGGCTGCTGTCGTGCAGGGGGGTGCCTGAGTTCTAACCACAGAGACATAGACACACTGCTGTCTAGTAATACCAGCGACCAGGCCGAGGGTTTCGCGCGGCGTGTTCCTATGCCTGTGCGAGCCCCTGAGCAGCTTGAACTTGCGCAGCTTGGTGGTGAGCCACGGCTTGCAGGACATCCTGCAGGACATCGCGATCTGCAGGGTCAAGCAGGGAAGTCAAATTCTGGTACAGCTGAGGCTGTTCAGCCTGGAGTTTGTTGAGGGAGTCACTAAAGGCGGCGTAGGGGTCAAACTTGTCCAGCGGGCTTTCGAGCAGACTGTCCTCGTCGAGGATACTATCGTCGTCGTCGTCGGCTAGGGCGCCAAACTTCTTGGCTTCCTCGCTGAGGAAGTCGAGATATGCCTGTGACTCGTCCTTGATGTCACCCTTGGTGTCGGGTACCGACGTCGCGGTGACATTGCCCCATTCCTGACCGGCGGCGCCGCCTTCGCCAGCGGGCTCATCCGCCCAGTCTTCCGCCTCTTCGTCCGACGCATACTCGGAAAGCGTGTCCGACACGCCGTCAGAGGCTTTGACTGCTTCTTCGCGTTGCTTCAGCGCCGCAGGGAGTGTGCGGAAGAGATATGTCGCTCCCGACAGCAGGCGCGGCCAGCCAGTCTGCACGGACTGTGGGACTTGGTCGGCACGAATCGTGAGCAGGGCAGAGATGGCGGCAATGCAGAGTTTCTTGTCGTGGACCCGGCGGAACGAGTCGATGCTCCCGAACCAGATAGAGAAGAATCTGTTTGTCCAGCCGTGGGATTCGAGGACTTGCAGAGCAAGGATAGGATTGTAGTAGATGGCGTTGATGACCATTTCCACCAGATGAAGCTTGTAACTCTTCATAAGAGTCTTTTGGCCTGGCCCTGTCAAGACGTCCATCGGAAGTGTCACAAATGTGGGGATGTAGCTGTCAATGGGCCCACCCCGGAGGTTTAGCATTAAGGCTTCGGCGAGCTTACATCCGCAGATGCGGTCAACGCCTCCCACTTTGGGGTCGGTGAAGATGTCGCGGACCATCCCAGCAATGGCTGCGAGATACGGAGGGTGCTCGATCAGCCTTTTTTGCCCGTAGGCGACGAAGTTGTCCAGCGCAGGAAGCATATCCTCAAGGTAGAGTTCGGCGCCGTCCTTGAAGGTCTTGTGCATCAGCTCAAATGCCTGCCACATGGTGTCGGAGATGGACTTGGACGCAAAGGTGCACGAGTCGATAATCTCGAAAACTTCGTTGTACAAGTCGTACAGCTTGTTTTCCAGAGTGATGTTGATCACAGGCATGAGAATTGTTTCGAGAATGAGAAGCACATCCGGGGTCGCTTCGAGTGTGAGGATCAGAGTACCAATCGTTTGCAGGACACCGAGGGCTGCTATGGCCTTGTCATCCAGGTAGTCTCCGTATCCCGGGTCGCCACTCTCAGCTGCCTTTGCCTCATTTCGCTCCAAGATTTCCTTGATGATCCGGAGGTAGGTGTCTCGAAGATTTTCGCTCAACGCAACGGCGAAAGGAGTCAGTTGTTCGGCGAACACCTCTACAAAGTCTTCCATCACGTTGGACAGTGCGTCGACATCGACCTCATTCATCAACTTGAGCAGCTGGTGCATGATTTGAGGGATGTTGGCTTGCATGGCCAGGCGAACAGCATCGTGCCTAATAAGCGGCTGCAGAGCCAGCGAAGCCATTACTCGGACCGGCAATTCAGGATCGGCCATTGACTCGAGTATGTTGCGGTAGATGATCATAAGATTGTTTTGGTCTTTGAAGTCCAGCTGTTCAAACTTTTCCATGGTCTCGCAAGCCCTGGCTCGGAGGAAGCCGTGTGGAGACCTGAATTCCGGCAAGACATGACGCACAAAAAAGTACTCGACCTGGTCGGCAATGGGGCTTTTCTTGCCCAAAATGACCGGTGCAAGCGATCCGATCATTCGCAAGGCGCCCTCCTTCTCACGCGGGTTCTTCTGGTCATCAGGCGCAGATTCATAGCGCGTGACCACCTCGTTGACATAGGACAGGATAACATACGTCTGCTGTTTGCGCGACTTGGTCAACGCGATCAAGAAACTCGTCGCGGCCATATCTGGAGCAGACACTTCCTCGAAAAGGTTGAGTTTGCGGTGCAGATAATCTGGAGGATTATCATTGAACAACTCCAGGTCTTCCTCAGACAGACATAGCACAGGAAAGACCAGATGCTTAATCAGGCTGTCCATGTGTGGCTTCAACTTGTCCCACATTGCCTTCGGCTTGACACACTCCTCAAGAAAAATTAGAGTATACGACAAGGAAGGCTTGCTGAGCCAATGGTTTCCTCCAACCCATTTCTCGATCTCTCCCAGATACCCTTTGAGGATCTCCGGCGCAAAGTTAGTGATGAAGTTTCGGGAGAACTCTCCGTACTCTTTCTCCTGGCTGGTCGAGATGGTTGAAGGGTTCCCGTATCTGACAAAGAGCCTGTTCAGATTTGCGTACGACCACTTCCGCGCCTTCCACCAATGATTGCGCTCTCGGTCTTCGGGGTCCTCTGCCATTGCATACTCGGGGGGTTCTTTGGAGATGATGGTCAAGAACAGGGTACACCAATCCACCGTTGCCTGGTGCGATTGGAGCGGTTGAGGAAGGCCATAATATACCGCGTGCTTGTAGCATTTGACGCATATCCGCAACATCTCGCCCGCTTCTGGGCTCGTCTCATGGACCAGTTTGTTGCCAATGCCTAACAATGTAGGAAAGGCCATAGAGACCACCTTGTCCAAGTTGGCCCTTTCTTCGCCTGCGCGAAAGCGGTATGTGCGGCAGACTGCCAGTAGACACTGCAGGCCCGCAAACACTGAATTGGCATCTTGTGTATTCAGCAGCTGAAGGGTAATGTCCATCAACTCGGGCCATTTTGCAGGAAAGTCGTACTGCAGAATAGTCTGCAGGATGGGGATCAATTGGGCTCGGATTAAAGGAGGTGAGGTCGACAGAACGGGGAGAAGACGGTCCCTGAAGGGTTTTCTTTCGGGCTCGGTCACTGGTTGATGAAGCGTGGTGTCCGGTGGCCAGCCTCTTGATATCCGATTTTTTAGGTACACGGCGCCCGAAAGGCGGATGTTGGGGTCTTGCTCCGTCTGGAGCACGTCCAGGAGGGCTCCGATAAACCCAGCATGTTGCTCGGCAGACTTGAGAGCGGCCTCAGCCTGCGAGCGGACTGTGGCATCGGGGGACAAAGTGGACTGGATGGTGGTGCGCAAATCCATGATGTCGACGTCTGCCCTCGGTAGGGCCGATGCCTGGATGCCTCAAAACCGCGTGGCAAACACGTACAACCCTCAGCGCATGGAATTCCACGGTGCCTGGTCCGGGATAAGAGGTGAGTGGCCGTCAGACTCTGAGGTTGGCGAGGGCTCCAGGGTCAAGTTCAACTGCAGAGGAAGTTTACCAAAACATTTACTGCAAATAATGCCAAGAAACGGTCCTCGGGCGCCTGCAAAAAAGCGGCAGACTCCAGGCGGTGAGTTCGCGTCCCACGCCGTGGGCAAGGAACAGGTCATCTCAAAGACGATCACTACATGTGCTGGACAGTCGCTAGACAGTGAACGGGAGCTGTATTTCTTATTGTTGACGGCCGCCGTTCGGCCACTGCAACTGACAACCTGCCATCCCGCCCTCACTTTGACAATCATTCCAGCACATTACGAATCTAGCATGCGAGCTACACAGGGCGTATTCGAGGACTAAAGTACAAAATGCATTGAAGAATGTGGATATCGTATTGCAAGAGTATCTAATGTCGTCTCAGTTACTGCGCTCCTCTGCCTCTTCAACCCTTGAGCGTCGCGAGATGGACGACGTAGCCTGATCCTGAACGTAACTCTGCCGAAATCTTCTCGTCCGGAACCCGCCAAACGTCAAAATGCTTCATCAAGGTAGCCAGGAATAATTCGCAGATGGAATCGGCTCGAAGCTGTTGGGCTATGACGATGATGGTGTTCTTTTCGGCAGTGGTTCCCAGACGGCAGATGTCGATGCAGGTTTGCACCAGGGGCGAGACAAGGAAATCATTGTAGACACAATCGCAGAGAACCAGAAGGTCTATAGAGCCTTGGGGGCCTATGGTAGAGGTCAAGATTCCAACATCGGTAGTTTCCCAGTCGAGCGGAACCATTCTGAGATTGTCTCTCGGTTGATACCTTTCAAGTTGTGCATTGCCTTTCCTGTTCGAAGTCCTTGTGGCCGATTTTCGGGCTGCTGTGTTCATGAGGATGTTTTCTTTCAAGTATTTCATCACATACTCCTGGTCTGTAAGCACATAACATCCGACCACGCGAGACAGCACCAAGCCCAACAATCCCGCCACTCCACAGCCCAACTCGACAACCGTTGACTCGGAATGGAGAGCGCCCAGGTCGCGAAGGAGAGGCGGCAACGATGCAAGCCAGCTCGCTAACAGCGGCGTAATTTTCCACAAGGCCGCACCAGTGGTACCTCCTGCTCGGTTCGAGGTCAAAAGACCAGGCGACTGTCGGAGAACATAATCATGACCGCCAATCTCAATCTCGACGGTTTCGGCTTTGGCATCGACCATGCCGAGATTGTTGCTGGGGATGTCTTGAGTGTACAGGAGGAATGTTTCTACATGGGTAAGTCAGGATATCGAAATTGGCCGGGCCGTGAACCAGCTGGAACGTCAAGGCCATGTCAAACCTTCCTCAGCATCTTGAACGGGAGGACCCAAGATGGTATGTAGAGCACTGGCTATCATTACAGCTTCTTGTCCTAGGTAATCAGAGATGTGATTACCTAGGTACTGTGTAGGTCTTATTGTGCGAGATGAAGTCATCAGAGAGCCGGGTCTGTAGGTGTCTGCTACTAGTAGCAGCAGGGGTGAAGTGTGAGTGTCGGCAGAAATAAAGAGAATATCGCTACGTAGGTACTTTAGGCTACTAGTCGGCTCCCTCCAGGCAGCATGACAAGCGCCAACCAAGAGTCGTTCGGCGCCCGGAGCCCGGACTGCACCAACAATTGTACACAACTTGGATCATCTCGCCCCCGTGACGTACTGTAAGGCACCACTACGACTGCGGTGGCCGCACTCGCACTGGAATGACCGGTGACCCCAACCCCAGAAAGCTGCGCAAGAAACTGAAGCCTCAGCCAGGTATATTCCATTGTTAGCTTGTTCATAGCGCTCGCCCTCTCATCCTCGGAGGCTCCCTGACTTTCTTACTCCTCTCCTGCCCTTAGCAAGACTCGATCAAGCTGTCTCCTCGCTTTACCTGTCGCGGCACAAAGCATTGTACCGCTGGGTAACACAAGTGGTTCTCCGTTGTCTTGCCCAACAAAACCCGCCTCACGGAAGCCCGACTACTGATTGTCGCGGCTCCTCTACTACCTGCGCTGACCGGCCTCCCCTGCCCTAACAACTCGTCGTTGACCTCTCCTGGCCGCTAATCGACATGTCACTCAATAACGACACTCGTACCAGAGTGGACGGCTATGTGCAACCTCAGCTTGTCAAAAAGCCGCCGTTCTCGGTCGAAGCCTCGGGCTACGAAAAGAAAGATGGCGAGACCATCCCAAGGCGACACCCCATGGCAAAGGACAAGCTCATCACACAGCCGTCAGATGATGTCAAGACAATCTACGACAACTTGACACGTGCTTCGCGCAAATTTGGAAATGCAAAGGCCATCGGGACGAGGAAAATCATCAAGACCCATGTCGAAAACAAGAAGGTGAAGAAGATCGTGGATGGCCAGGAACAGGAGGTGGACAAGAAATGGACGTACTATGAACTGAGTGGCTATAGCTACATGAGCTTCATCGAGTACGAGAAACTCGCCCTCGACTGTGCCTCGGGCCTGCGCCACTTGGGCATCACCAAGGAAAACAAAATGCACCTTTACGGAGCTACCAGGTATGTAATCTTTCGCCGACAGAGTCGCCAAAGCTAACGTTACCAGTGCCCATTGGCTCGCCATGTCCCATGCGGCTGCATCCCAGTCCATTCCAATTGTCACTGCCTACGATTCCCTGGGCGAAGAAGGCTTACGGCACTCACTTGTCCAGACAAACTCCGTGGCCATTTTCCTGGATCCGAACCTGATCCCGGTGTTGATCAAGGTGCTGAAGGCTGCCAAAACGGTCAAATCTGTCATCTACAACACCGATCCTGAGATCAAGCAGGAAGATCTTGAGAAGTTAAAGTCAGAATTCCCGGACCTCAAAGTTCTGAGCTTTGAGGAACTGCGGCAATCAGGCGCCGACAACCCCGTCGACCCGGTGCCGCCGAGTCCAGAGGATCTCGCTTGTATCATGTACACTTCTGGCTCAACTGGGCCACCAAAGGGCGTCACGATCAAACACAAGGCTGTGGTGGCCGCCATGGCCGGCGTGCAAAGCATAGTCGCGCCTTACATCGGACCATCGGATGCGTTGTTGACCTATTTGCCCCAGTCACACATCTTCGAGTACATGTTCGAGAACGTTTGCCTGTTCTGGGGCGGTACGATGGGCTATGGTAACCCTAAGACTCTCTCTGACACCTCGGTTCGCAATTGTAAAGGTGATATTCGAGAGTTCCGACCCACCATCCTGATCGGCGTCCCTGCCGTGTGGGAGAGCGTGAAGAAAGGAATACTTGCAAAGATCAACAGTGGCTCCTTTGTCGTGAAGAATCTGTTTTGGGGGGCTCTGTCCCTTAAGCAAACACTCCTAGGAGCCAAGCTTCCTGGTGCCGGATTACTCGACGCGATTGTTTTCAAGAAGCTTAAAGATGCAACCGGCGGCAGGCTCCGGATCGCATTCAACGGAGGAGGTCCCATTTCTCAGGAAACGATCAAGTTCATCAGTTATGCCGTTACACCCATGATCTCAGGCTACGGTCTGACTGAGACGACGGCAATGGGTGCCATCCAGGATCCTCTGGCGTGGGATCCACACGCTCTGGGCGACATCCCAGCTTGTATTGAGATCAAGCTGGTGGACTTCCCGGATGCCGGTTATTACTCGTCGAGCAACCCCCCTCAAGGTGAAATCTGGATTCGAGGACCTCCGGTCACGGAAGGCTACTGGGACAATGAACAAGAGACGCGGGAGGCGATTACAGAGGACAAATGGTTCAAGACCGGCGATATTGGTGAATTCAACGCCAACGGTCATTTACGCATCATTGACCGCAAGAAGAATTTGGTCAAGACATTGAATGGCGAATACATCGCCCTCGAGAAGCTGGAGTCCGCCTACCGCGCGTGCCCTGTGGTTGGGAACATTTGCGTCTTCGCCGCCGAGGACAAAGCGAAGCCTATCGCCATCGTGGTCCCAGTGGAAGCAGCCTTGAAGAAGATTGCTGCAGCCCACGGCATCAAGGGAGACCACCTGGAAGAGATGGTCCACGACAAGAAACTCAACCAAATTGTCCTTAAGGAGATCCAGAAAGCTGGCCGCGATGTTGGCCTTTCCGGTATTGAAATCATTGACGGTTTGGTCCTAGCAGACGAAGAGTGGACACCACAAAATGTATGTCTCCTGAAACCTTCCGGTGTGACTCTAAGCTAACCATTACAGGGATTTATCTCGCCTGCGCAAAAACTACAGAGGAAGAAGATCCAGGCCCGGTACGAAAAGGAGATCCAAAAGGCCTACGGTAGCAATAGCTGAGAAGGCGGCATGAACGTATCAAGCACCCTCTTGTCACCAACGACTTGATAGGGCTTTGACCCACCATCCTGGCATGAATCCGGCGGTACGCTGTCCGGGTCTACGAGCGTGCTGGGTGTCCGGAGTCAATTTCTTTTGCGATGATATCCCTCGGATTATAGCTCGCTCTCTACTTTGCATAACTTGTTTCCCAACAAATCGTTCGTTCCTCCAGTTTCCGACCACTCATGTCTGTTTTGGTTTTCTTATATGATTTAGGTATCCCTCAAGCAAGCATGGTTATCCTCAACAAACATCTCTCTCAATACCGATCACATCCTCTCCACGCCATACGGGACTCATTGGCTCCAGTATCGTTTCCTCTCGCGTCAATGTCGCTTATTCCCACCCGTGATCTTGAGACCATTGATTGTCCAGCCCCCATTCTCTATCGCAATCTTGGGACACAGACCGCCCTCGCAGTCAACAGCGCAGCAAATCCCAGGGTCTTTGATGCATTCGTTGCATGTTGCGCTTCCGCCGTCGTCATATTCATTGTTTGCATTTGTGGGCGCCACTGTCTCTTCCGCGTGGGTACTTTCAATGGGACTTTCCACAGCCACACTTGCAATATCGGAGCTGGACGAACGCCGTTAGCTCTGACATTCCATAGCAGTTCAAGAAGGTCTTACCTCTCATCTCTCTTCGTGATCCTCAATGCAGAGGCACTGTGGAGCAAGACCCCGATGGCGAAAATAGAGGCGATCTTCATGGCTGTAAATGGCTGGGTAAGGTGAGTGTTTCTCCTGCAGCTGTGTATACTGAATGGCGTTCTCCGGATATCTCCCTCTGGCTGGGCTTCGCGGTTTGAAAGGTATTTTCTACTAGGTGGATCGGTTGTGTCTCACACCACATTCTTGCCAAGGGACATTCCTGAGCGAAGAAGGGCGCGGTATGCGGCGCGTCACGGCCAGCCTCAGCTTGTTGCGCGTCTCGACTACTCTTTATTATCGCAGCTTGTCGATTACGGAGAGGCCGTTCCAGAGAGTTGAGGAGAAGTTCTCGTCACTGCATATCAAGACATCAGCCGCAATGTGGTCCTCGTGCCGACATCTATGGGTGGTTGTGCTATATCTTGTGCACTTCACAGCATGTCTTTCAGCTCAATCCACCTACTGGCTTGCGAACAAGCCCAATGTTGGAAAAGTGGCATTTCAAGACCCAAGCTATCCGGTGTTTCGCAACGTCAAAGACTATGGCGCCACGGGTAAGCATTGACAGATCGACGATGTTTCATGACCATCTCCTGACAGAGCTTAGGTGGAGGCGTACAAGATGACTCTGATGCTATCAATCGCGCTATTGCGGCCCCTGGCAACCGATGCGGCGGTGGAAATTCGACCTATGGGTCATTTTGTCAATCTTCTACAGTGACGCCAGCCCTGGTCTATTTCCCGCCGGGAACATACCTCGTATCCAAGCCACTGGTTATGTACTACTTTACACAGATGGTAGGAGATGCCGTCAACCCGCCCACGATCAAGGTGCAGTCCAATTTCACCAACATCGTTGGGCTTGCCGTCCTCGACGCCAATATATACATTCCAAGTGGGAGTGGCTCCGAATGGTACGCCAACCAGAACAATTTCTACCGGCAAGTCCGCAATTTCATCATCGATATGACTACCGCGCCCCTCAAGACTGCCGGCATACACTGGCAAGTGGCTCAAGCGACCAGTTTGCAAAACGTTGTGATCAACATGGTGGCCAAAGATGTGGTAAACAACCAACAACAAGGAATCTATATGGAGAACGGCTCAGGAGGGTTCTTCTCTGACATGGTCATCACGGGTGGCGCTGTCGGTATGTATCTAGGTAACCAGCAATTTACCACGCGCAAAATCCATCTGGACGGCTGTCTCACCGCCATCAAAATGAATTTCGACTGGCTCTGGACCTTCACACAAATTACGATTACAAACTCCGACGTTGGTATCGACATGACCAACGGCGGCTTTTCCAATCAAGCCATTGGATCACTGGTACTGTTGGACAGCACCATTTCAGCTACACAGGGCATTTTAACACCATATGCCCCAGGATATAGCTCTCCCCAGGCAGCTGGGACCCTGATATTGGAGAACGTGGATTTCACCGGCAGCCAGGCAGCCATTTCGGCCGCTGGCGGCACACAGGCACGAACTGTTCTGGCCGGCGGGCAATTTATTCCGTTGTTCGCTCAGGGCAATGCTTGGACAACCGCTGGTCAGGCACTAAACGGCCAGAGCTTCAATGGAACCACATGTACCTATGCAAATTCCAGTCAAACCGCCTACTCGGCCCAGGAGACGACCATCCAGCGACAACTTGCACCTATTCCCCGGCCGTCCAGTTTGGTGGACAGCAATGGCCAGTACATTTATCGCGTGAAACCGCAATATGAGACGCTCCAGTGGAGTTCGTTCTTGAGTGCTAAAGCGCATGGGCTTCTGGGGGATGGTGTTACAGGTAAGAAGAGAATGGCCTCGCCTTATGGAGCGCTTTACTAATCGAATATCCTAGACGATACGGTTGCCATGCAGGCCTTATTCAACCTCGCAGCCAACACTGGCCAGATAGTCTACTTTGACAAAGGTGCCTATATTGTCTCAAGCACGGTGACAGTACCCCCAAACGTGAAAATCACGGGGGAGCTACTCAGCATCATCATGGCCACCGGGTCCTTCTTCAACAGCGAGATGAACCCGAAACCTATGTGGAAAATTGGCAATCCGGGTGACGTTGGAACCGTGGAAATCTCAGATCTTATCTTCGAAACCAAGGGACCCTGTCCTGGTGCCATCATGATTGAATGGAATATCAAGGCAGCAGGCCCAGCGCTTGCCGGCATTTGGGACGCTCATTGGCGCATAGGCGGGTCTGCTGGAACACAGCTTCAGCAGGACACTTGCATCAAAACGCCAGCCACGCCGATAGCGTCGGGAAATGCCAAATTGACAAACTGCATTGGAGCTTTCTTGCTGTTGCACGTTACTCCACAAGCTGATGGATACTTTGAAAATACCTGGGGCTGGGTGGCAGATCATGAATTGGACATGGGCACAAGGGATCAGGTCTACATCTTTAACAAAGGGTAAGGACATTCACGGAGATCTGGCTGTTGCCGAACTCGCTAACATTGCCAACCAGGGGCTTCTTGATCGAAAGCAACAACGGCCCAGTGTGGATGTATGGCACTGCTGCCGAGCACTCGGTCATGTATGACTACCAGTTTGTCAACGCCAGGAACGTCTTCATGGGCCACATTCAGCACGAAACAGCATACTTCCAGGGCAACCCGAACGCTTTGCTTCCGTTCACTCCACAAGACTCGTGGCACGACCCTACATACTCCGACTGTGTTCAACCCAATTGTGCTCGGACGTGGGGGCTCCGATTCGTCAACAGTTCTTCCATCTTCATGTACGGGGGTGGCTTGTACAATTTCTTCGAGAACTGGAACACCCAGGCATGTCTGGGCACGGAGAGTTGCCAGGAGAGAATGGTGGACATTCGGAACTCGACCGATATCTATTTGTGGGCACTCAGTACCAAGGGCTCGCAGTTCATGATCAGTTATGAAGGCACAGATGTGGTGCCCTATTCGGTCAACAAGGCGAACTTTTGCGAGACAATTGCGTTGTTTGAACTGGCTGCTGATCAGTGATGGGATAGCCTGAGCAAGGATGATGACACACGGTACTGGATGTTATAGTATATGGAACAAGGGTTTGGACTAGGATAGATTGGTTGAGATTGAATGAGGATTTGAGGCATCTGCATTACGGTTGACCCTGACCCGCTCAGCCTTGCGGATGTAGGATCTCGCCAATTGGACATAACCCCATTACCCACCCACCGATGGAATGAAAAGACTCTGCCAGCGACAGCAGGTAGGACTACTACTAGGACACCGATAGCATCTGTCACGACAAGCCACTCAGGCCTATAATGTCGTGGTACGCAGCCTGCAGAATAGGTCGTGTTCGTGGCCATCACGTGCAGCTCCTTTTCGTTAATTTATGTCTCCTCGGCCTCAACAGCAGCCTCTTTACACTCCACTCCAGAGAATGACCAACACCTTGACCACGATATCTCGCACGACCCAGTCGCCACTCGAACATGAAGATCAAGGCGTCTGGCATCTCTTGAACAAGGGATAATGCCCAGTCCCAACACGGGCAGCCAAGCAAAGGTAGGAGTTAACACGCCGCATTCCATTCCTTCTGACTCGGGTCTGTGCACAGCACAACGCGACAGAGGAACAGATGAAAGATCTTGAAGGAAAATGGTGCAGCTACGTGGTTCTTTACATCTCATGAGAGGCTCTTCTTGCTTTCCAAGTCACTCGTTTACACGCCGCCAACATGTCGTTCTTTCGGTCGCTGATCCTGTTGACGGCGAGCTTTTACCCTATTGTTACATATGCCTTCGTTGATTTTGGATATTCTACCCTGCCCTATGAACCGTTACATCATCCCACTCCCAAACCGTATCAGCTGCCCAAAGATTCAGACCTTCGCTTCGAAATCCTCCCGTCGATGATCACGGCCGTGGCCCCTTCCATCACCATTGCAGCCAACGGGACCAGGGAAACATTGTACAGTCTTCACTACCATCACTATTTCAGCAAGACACGGCAGGGAAAGGGTCTTTTCAAGCGAGGCGTATTTGCCAATGATCCTCCCATTGCGACCTGCACGCCTTGCGGAGGCGCTGTGTCTACTGGCAATTCCAGCTCGAGTTCGACCACGCCAACAGCATCATGTACAACACATTATTATCATGTGAGTGTGCGAGACACGGAAAATGCGAGGGTGATGTTAACATCCCTTGTCAGGGCGTCTTCCAATACCCAGACCCGGCAAGCACAACCTCGTACTGCTATAATTCCAACTACACGGGCGTGTTCGAACCAAGTACAACCTCGTCGAGCGGCTTGCCGTGCTGCTTTACGATTCCGGCCTCATGTCGGTCCAACAGCAGCACCACCAGTTCTTTCACCTATAGCAGTGGCGTTTTCCGGTCCACCACGACATCGTCATTTTCCCTGAACACAACTACGACAAGCAGGACATCGGCCACGCCATCTTCGAGCTCCTCCTTGACTACTGCCACCAGGACATCTAGCAGCACTAGCACCAGTACCAGTAGCACCAGATCTTCAACCTCTTCATCCACATCGTCTTCGACTTCGACCTCTATTTCAGGATCGGTATCGCCCATTCTAATCAGCGGCAGCACCAGCTCCTCCACGTCTACCAGCACGACCACCACAATCACGATAATCAGTGGGACGACGATCGTTTTAACGACGACGACAGATTCGACCTCCACAATGTCAGGAACAACATCCACCACTTCGAGTTCCAGTGTGCTCTCAAGCGTGCAGTATACATCGGGCACATCGTCCAGGACATCGTCGACCACGAGTCCGTCAGCATCAGTTTCCATCATTGTTGTGTCTAGCACCACCATTACCATCACCAACAGTGGCTCGTCGACCACCACTACTGGCTCCGGAACATCCTCGACGTTGTCCACGTTGACAGTAATCACTGCCACACCCGTGACGTCGACTACTTCGGTGGTCTTTACTAATATCACAACTACCGTGCCGAACACGATTGAAGGATGCGGAACTGCTTCCGGCAGCGGTGTAGTTGGTAAGTTTTGTTCACTGTTCCTTATAATCTCATTCTGACCAGAGTGAAACAGAGGGAACAGGGACAGTATATCTCGCCGACACATCTATCGTAGCCTCCGGGACCGCAAGTGGTAAGCTTTTGGGTCCTTTGGGTCATCCTAGTTTCGTTTTTACCAGAGAAATACTAACGCATCTGGACAGGTTCGGCATCCCAAGTTGTTGGATGCGGCACAGTCGTCGCCACGAGCGGCACGTTCACGGGCTCCGCTAGCATCACTGGATGTAAGTCCACGCAAGCTGATCATGATTCCATCCACACTGCCATGGGTCTCTAGACTTCCACAAAACTGACCATAAATAGGTGGCTATGGGTCTGGAACCGGCACTCTCACCGGCACTGGCACGATATGGCCCGCTGCAGGAGGCGGTCTTGTGTCACGAGTGGGCTCGGGAATCGTGAGCGGAAATGGAAGGTTTGAAGGTTGCGGAACATTGGTACGTACATAACATGACATAAAAGAGACAGACAGCTCGACAGCGCCCAGCACCCTTGGTAGATTTCCTTTCGATCGTCCCTCTCTGGCACTCCTGGTCGGAAAGGAAAGTCACTGACACACTGGACCGTGATCAATTCAGACCGGCTCAGGCACATTCGTCGCCACAGGCCCATATACAACCGTGATCGGCGCACCTGTAACTACCAGCTCAGGCTCAGCTAGTTCAACACGGTCCCGGTCCGTAACCACCATCGAAGTCTACGTTTCGTATTGTCCTGGACCCATGGACGGTGCTGCCGCTCTCAAATTCGGGACCAACTCGACTTCTCCCACTTCTCCTACTTCTCTCAATAACAGCACCAACAACTCCTCATCGCACGATTCTGGTCCCGCACCATATTCCGGTCCAGATTCCGACGCAAACCCCCGCTTCATCGTTCCAACGACCCACGGCTCCGGCACCAACGGCACCACTAATGGAACAGATATCACCAGCGATAATGCACTCTGTAACACGTGTCCTAACAGCGTGGGAATCTGTTGTCCGCCCACAGTCGACTGCGACGACGACGATGGCAAGTGTCCCCTGTTTGCGCTGGAGAATTCGCACAACACTATCAATGGGTATTTGATTGCTCAGGTCATGAATAGTACGGCCGCTGTGGCGGGGAGGAAGAAGGTGCGTGGGTTGATGAAGCCGAAAACGCCCAAGAGAGATAACGATGTGCTGGGCGACTCGAACCATTTGATCGGTAGTGGCTATGACGATGACACCACAACCACCAATGTCAAGGTGAAGAAGGGCCAGGGGCAGGTCCACAAGCATCACCATGGTCATAACGCGGCCAAGAAGGCTCATAAGAGACAGTTCTAGAGACAAGAAGGAGAGGGAAAGGAGCTTCTGGGGCTGAGGTCTGCTCTGCTTGATAGCTCACCAGGTGTCCTCAAGGAGACATTCCGAGTCCACCAAAGGGGTCAGTCGTTCAGTCAGTTTGTCAGTGAGTGGGCAGCTACTTGGCAGTTCAAGGGGTTGCTTCGTGGCCTGCAGTGCCTTGAGAGTCTGGTCTCCTCATCTCATGTCCGACGTGCTTGCTTATCGGTGGAGTGGTGACCAGTACCTCCCCCAGGTAAACCTGAAGGTTGATCAATAGAGGGATTCCGACCGTGATATTTTATTTTAGTTTGTATGCCGTGTGATATTGGTTGTTGAAAGACCTTTCTTTACTGCCTGTTTCATTACGAACCCGCCTCTTTTGGAACAGTAAGTCTGGCTATATCTCCATCCATGCGTCTATTATCCCGTCTATCCATCCGTATGCCCAAATCCCACTGGGTATCCTCGGGCTTCGATCTGAACAGCAACTCCATACTCCATCCATTGTTGTTTTCGTGGCCATCTTCGGGAGCCCAGTCCCATACAGAAAGCCAAAAACATCCATACGCTAGAACGCTGCAGACAATCCAGTCTAGTCTAGTTCTTTCCCCACAAGGTAGACCCGAGCATTCCTTTTTCATGCAATGTCTATCCCAACCGACCCGTTGTATCTCATCGCATGCATCTTGTCAGTCATGAATGTGTGTGCGGGTGTATGCGTGACCAATTAACCCCCAGGTTTTCCCGTAAAGACGAACAAATATAGTGGCTCAATGTTGACGATCGCGCTCCGCACTGCACTGGTATACTAGGATGTGAAATCCCACAGGTCCAACAGGAGATTATCCGCCGCAGTGTCATGGTCCGAACCCTCGTTATCGCGGGTAAAAATCTTCTTTGGGATTTTATATTCAACCACAGGAGGCTTCTTGTCCTTCTTGTTCAAGTCACTCTGTAACAAACTGGAGTAGCCGTGATCAAGGAAATCCTCCAGATTGTACTGCTGCTTGGTGAACTGCTCGGCGATGATTCGTGCGATGGACGCCACGGTGGGATGGTAGTGGGAGCGCAGGGTGTCGAGTTCCCACAGCGAACTGTCGATGGCATTGGTGACTTGTGGGTCAGGCTCGGCCGGGTCGAACGGGTCGTTACCGAGATTGTGTTTGAATTTCGTGTAAGGAGGGTGTGGCGGGCGGTGGATCATGAAGGTGGTGGTCGGATGGGTTTTGAGTAAATTGTAGATGAAGGGCACGATGGCGACAATGGCCGAGGGAGGCGCAAACAGACACAGTCGCGATAGTCGCTTGATGAAGCTGGCGATCGTCGCCGCAGGCAGGTGGTTCTGCGGTGCGAGAAATATGTCCAGGTGTCGAAGCACCCGTGACCGGTACTTGCTGTGCAGGAGATCCTTGTCGAGCAGTGCGTACAGTCGTGGATAGAAGGCTGGGTAGTCGAGGTTGCGTGTGGTGATCAGGTGGAACAGTCCTTGCAACGCCGGCACCGCCAGCCCCAGGTCGCCCATGTCCAGACTGTCGGTGAAGAAGTCCATTAGAATCTCTGGCCGACGCAGTGTCGCAATCGCGGCCGGTGACTGGAGTTGTTTGAGTAGTTGTTTGCGCTGTGCTGTGCTCATGGGCCCCGCGATCAGCGAGGCGTACGAGTCCATGGCGGTCGACGATGGCATTTTGGAGGGGGACGTTGAATAAAAAAGAAAGAAACAAAGGCACAGTCCCAACAGAAGTTGGACGGAAGTGCTGGACTGGTTGATGTTTTAACTACTTGCGGTCACCCTCTTCCACCGCACCATATTTGGATCTCGAATACTTTATCGGTGCCAAAGAGAGTCTGCGAATTGTATCTTGCGGGTCGACTTTTTTCCGAAGCCTGCGGATTAATTATTTCATTGACGTAGCTCCAGCCAATCGGAGCAACAAGGCCACACTAGTCCCCTTCGAGCGATGGTGCCAAGTCCTTGTCGAGCGAGACCTTGAAGCTCCAAAGGAACCAGACTCGGACCTCAAGTCAGGTTCGCGGCAGCACATTGAAGAGAACGTCACGGTCAGAACGCTGTGCCCAAGTGTATCCTGTCTCTGTCCCTCTGCAGGCATTGATATACACGAGTTTTAAAATCCAATGGCGTCCAGACTGGCGAGGAGTGTGGCCGGTACGTAAAGTCGAGCAAAGCCGACAGCCCTTTTTTCTACGAGGGGATATGAGCTGGCAATGGGAATGAAGACAACAACGACTGACTAGATTTCGGTTTATAGGAGCCAGCAAACTCCGACCGACCACTCTCCCGATTCGTTCTTTGCCAACCTTGACCTCGATTTCCAGCGCGCGATATGCGTCCAACGTCCCCGCCGAAGAGCCCAAGAAGAAGGCGCAATCCATCATTGACAGTCTGCCCGGAAACAGCCTGGCCAGCAAGACGGCCATCCTGTCCGCCGGAGCCGGCGCTTCAGTGTGGGCCATCAGCAACGAGCTTTATGTCTTGAACGAGGAAACCGTCGTCGCCTTCTGCTTGCTGTCCGTCTTCTACGGCATCTTCAAGTACGGTGGTCCCATGTACAAGGAGTGGGCGGATGGTCAGGTCCAGAAGATCAAGGACATCCTCAACGAGGCCCGGGGCAACCACGCCAGCGCCGTCAAGGAACGGATCGAGGATGTCAAGCCGTTGAGCAACGTTGTCGAAATCACCAAGCAGTTGTTCGAGGTTTCGAAGGTACATACGGACTGCATTCTTTTGCGCAAACGACTTGTGTTTGCCGGTCAGTATATACAGGACAGGGCTGATTGTATTACAGGAAACCGCCAGACTCGAGGCCCAGGCTTTTGAACTCGAGCAAAAGACCGCTTTGGCCGCCGAGGCTAAGAATGTCCTGGACTCCTGGGTCCGCTACGAAGGTCAAGTCAAGCAACGCCAGCAGAAGGAATTGGCCGACTCCATCATCGCAAAGGTCACCAAGGAGCTCGAGAACCCCAAGGTCCTGCAACAGATTCTTCAGCAGAGTGTGGCCGACGTGGAAAGATTGGTGTCCCAGCCCGCCAAGACCCCAGGTCAATAAACAGATGCCAGTGGAAACGAATGAATCGGCCAAGTTACGCTTTGCAAGGTTTAAGAGGACTGGACAAGCGAGCCAAGCAGTGCGAGAGTCGGGGCAACGTTGTGGCACGGTCCATCACTTGCTGTATATAAAAAATGGCTGAGAAGCAGTTACCAATTCGAGCATCTTTGTGGTTGATTATTGACTATTTACTCGCTGTTTTGTTTGTCTAGACTCAAACCACGAGATATTTCTCGGTAATATCTCGTGCCATGGCTGCATTCCCACTCAACGCATATAACGTTTGAACGGCATAAGCTGCTTCCATGGTATAGTCTGCATGCTTGATCTGACCCGCCCCCGTCTGCGCACTGGCAGTCGGCGTTGCAGACGAAAACAACTTGGCATACGCTCGGACAGCCAAATCAGACATGCCCATCATATGCCAACTTCTGGCCCGGTTGAATAGGATCTCACGCTCGACGAGAAGCTCTGTCTCCGGATCACCTTTCGACTTTGCCCACTCGCGTCTCGCATCGGCGTACTCCTCGAAGAAGGCCCACCCTTGCAGGAAGAACATATGTCGATTGTCGCTTTGTCGCTTCAAGAGCTCGTGCATATAGGCCAGAGCAATGCTCAACAGGGTAACGGGGTTCTTGGGATCCAGCGACCGTGCTCGGAAGAAGTAGGACAAGGCGTTGGGAAAGCTTCCACCAGCATAAAGTATGTGGCCATAGAGGGTTAGAAGCACAACATCCAGTTCCTTGGGCGTAATCACCTCCCCGTTGGCCAGGTCCTCATCCCCCTCGTCCTTGGCCAGAAGTGACGGTTGCTGTCGCATGAAGCTGGGTACCGGACCGTAGCCTTCGGGATTGTAATCCTGAGGAAGATTCATGTCCATCGCCATGACCTGGCGAAACATGAATTTCTGTGACGGGCCACTCCGGAAATGTGCATTTGCCATCTGGATATCTTTCCCACCTTTGTCGTCGGGATGGGGAAAGAGAAAGTTCATGCCGGCAAAGAGTCGATAGGCGTCCGTGCAGAATTGGAATCTGCGCATGAACCACCGCAGGACGATGTTGAACAACGTCTGTGAGTCGCGGAGAGCCAGTGCGCAGGTAAAGTAGGTGACGTAGATGTGAAGGATCGCTTGAGGATCATGGTACCACACCGAGCAATCCAGAGCCGCCGTGATGATGTTGTAGCAACGCTGTTGAGATCCCGGTTCCGAATCGTTCGCCAACAGCAATGCGTACTCAAGAAACACGTCCAGCCATTCCGTGAAGGTGATCTCGCGGTACTCGGTTGGAACTGTGGACTCAACCGACGGACTTGGGATGTCTTGATCTCCGTTACCATCTCCATTCTCAAGGGCATCTTGCTCTTGCTCTTGCTGTCTATGAGCCTTCCGCCGACGATCGCTGGCATTAAAATCGCGATCGTACCCCTTAAAGGTAACGTATCGCTCAGCAGGATAGAACACACGGTTGCTCCGGAAATCGGTGATAAGGGACTCGGCGCAGTCCATCCAGGTGTTGCGCGCCACTTCGTCGCCCTTCCTCATGGCTTCTGTGTTCTCCACCAGGTCTTTGTAAAGACGATTGACATTCTCGGTTCTGTAAGCCTCCTTTTCCTCCGCCGTCATGCGTTTCGGCTTGGGTGCAGGCTTGGACCTCGGTTTGTAGACTCGGGGTTTCTTTTTTGATTTCTCGCCCTCAACCTCGCCGTCCTGTCCTTCGACGCTTTGCACAGGGCGATCCGGATTGTCATTTGCCGACGTTCCGTCTGTGATCGCTGCTTTGGCTTGCTTATTCTTTTTGCCCTTTCCTCGCCTCCTTCCAATGCGTGCCTCAATCCTTTCAACAGGGACCCCATCACTAATAGGTCCGGGAAGGCTGTAGGCAAATTTCAGCGCCTTTTCTGCCTGCTCTCGAGCAATGCGCTGTTCTTTGCGTTCATATTTCCGCCGTTCGACCTTCCGAACAACCGAGTTGTCGGCGATGCGGACGGCTTCACGAGCATTTTCCATCGCCCTCTGCTTGTCGCCCATATCGGCGTATAATTTCGACAACTGAGTCCTTGCTTCTATGCAGTTGTCGTCCCAAGCCTTGGCTTCCTCGTAGCATTCAATGGCCTGTTCTTTGTTGCCACATATATAAGAATTGGCAGCAACGCCCAACCAGAAATCCGTATCGGAATAGGCATTGATGTCTTTCAATGCTTGGTAGTATCTGAGCGCTTGCTCATGCTGTTTGGCTTCGTGCAAGGCCTGCGCGGCTTCCAGAAACAGGTCGGGATAATCGTAGACATTGGCATCCTCATCTCGAGCGTCTGGCTCAAGCCATTCAAAGTGCGCTAGTGCTTCATCCAGCATCTCCGGACCCTGTCTCAGACGGAAAACGCCTAGTCGAACGCGAAGTTCCAAAGGCAGACCTGTACCATAGGTGTCAAGAGGATGCTTTCCAGGGACGAATTGTTCGACCAATGTTCTTCGCGGATCATCCTCGGAATCCCATTCCCTGTCATCCTCAGAGTAATCGTCCCAGAAGGTCTCTTCTCCTCTCCCCAAAAGCCACCTGGACAATGACCTCAAAGCCTTGATGGCGTTGGACAAGGAAACGTCAGCAGGTTCTTCTTGAGCAAGAAGTTGGGCATAGACAAGAATGTCAGTCCAGGTAAAAGAATCTTCTTCGTCCATGCCAGCTTCGCGATAGTATGCTAGGGCCTCTTCGTAAAGCGATTTGGCTCTGTCAAGATCACGAGTATCAATACACACTTCGGCAATCTGCCTCAAGACATTTGAATCACGAGGCTTATGTTCTCGGACAAACTCTAGGTCGTTCATCGCCTTGGTATAGTTTCCAAGTTCTCGTTGTAAGGCCGCCCGCTGAAGGCGAGCATCACATTCTTTGGGGTCATTGTGTATGATCCTTGCATAGCAGTAGCTTGCTTGCTGTAGAGCAGTCTGGCGATTGCCTGACGATCGTTGCAAGCATGCGCTCGCCACCTGCCACCAGACTTCGGGGTCTCTCGGGGCACTGTGGGCACCACTAAAAAGAGCAGCAATGGCCTTTTCATCTTCGCCTTTGGCAAAATAGATCTCTGAGAGGAGAGCATGAGCTGCATATATTTCCGGGTTGACCGCAATGGCCTTCAAAATCAGTTCAAGTGCCTTCTCTGTATCTTGGTCGTCGATAAAGGCATTCATAGCGCTTTTGTGGAGTTGGTTGAATTCGGCACCGGGGTCAATGGGCGGTCTGGGACCAATCTTGAGACCTTTGCTCCAGCCTCCGCGAGTCCCGGTACCCTTCTTCCGTCGTTTTCTGGGAGGCTTGTCATCACCGACAGGCTTCGCCGCACCACGTTTCCGAGATTTACGGCCAGTGGGCGTATTAGGACTAGCTGCGAGAGGGATTCGCTCAGTATCATCGGCCTCGTCAACAGAGATGTCGTCCTCATCAGCAGATGTGTCCGCTTCTTGCAGGCGAGGAGCAGCCAGACGGTTTGGCTCCAAAGCGAGCCGGGTTTCTCGCGCGAGCTCTAGTTGATTCAACTTTTCACGAGGAAAGGGAATGTAATCCGACTGCGTCTCCGGCGGTGGTGGATGTAATAGCTGGTTCAACTGGCTCGGATTGGAGTTTGAAAAGCCACCAGTCTGCCCTCCAGGTGGTTGTTGCGAAGAAAGAGAATAGTTTGGCGGCACATTCGGTTGCGTTGCCGGTGGCTCTTGATACGGACCGCTTGGATGGGAAGAAAGGTAGTTCGCGTGTCCATATGGCTGTTGCATAGATGGATGCTGATACGACCAGCTTGGAGGGAGGGGAGGATAGTGAGGCTGCATCGCTGGCTGCTGTCTTGGTGGCAACTGATGCAGCTTCTCCTGCGGGAATGGAATGTAGTTCGACTGCACATCTGGACGGCGCGGAACAGCTTCGTATGGGTTCATAGGCCGAGACTGGGAAACCCCTTGATATCCGGGCTCATGGCCCGAGGAGGTCTGAGCATAGTTCCGCAAATCGGCCAGCAGGGCTGGCTGAGCAGGATTTGCCTGGTGATATGGTCTTCCTGACTCTGGCGCCGACTGTGGAGGGAACCCATTAGGCTGTGGCCCCTGCGACTGCGGCGGTGGTGGCATATGAGGTGCCTGACCAGGATGAGGAACAAATCCTTCATAAACGGGCGGTCCTGATGCGCGAGGAAAGTCATCAGGATGCACCGGTGGCATATGAGCCATCCAAGGGTAAGATGATGCCCTGAATGTAGGGTCATTGCCGGGAGGGCGGGAGTGGGAGTGATTCTGGTCAGTCATCTTGGGTGCTCGCCTTCTTCGAGTCTTGCGGTTCTGGCACTGACAAGGCTCTGTGATCGAGACGATCAATCCATCAAGCGTATCCTGTGTGACCGAACCGCACGCTGCTTCGCACGCATTTCCCGAGGTCAGCGATGAAAACCCTGAGCGCCGCAATGAGGCGTCGGACTGGGGCAAGGGTCCCAGGCACCTACAGGTAATAATCTGTCAAGAGAACGGTGACTTGTAACTGACGGCGGGCAAGAGACAGCGTTGAGGACTCGGAGATGGATGAAGGATACTAGTACAAGGCATTCATCTCAGTAGTAGAATGATGAGGTCCAAGTTGACTGCCTGCGCCTACGACTTGTCTGTGAAGTGCCGTCGAGGTCAAGTTGGGTAAGTGCTTCAAATGTGTAGAATGTTGCTGTACCTGGCAGGGAACCCTAGGGGCCCTTCAGTGAATGCCTACCTCAACTGGTACGCTCAAGCTCCTCTTGTCGAGCGTCCATCAGTTCAAATTGCAAATGTGGACGGATGCATCTTGACATGCTTTCTCATGCCTAGTACCAGCTATCTACAATGTAATATCATCTGATATCTGTATTGGACACGGTTGAAGTGCTTTGGAGTTGCTATGTACCAGGGTAGCATCATAGCAGACGGCTAGGGCTGCCCTAGGCTGCCTGTCATTTGCCGGGCTAGCATTTTAGGCGGCTCTTAACCAGAAACACAACCGAGCACGCGGTGTTATAATTATAACTACGCCCATAAGGACGCCTGTTATTTGTTGGCATTACCTACTACGATGAACTACGAGGCTCCTGTTTCAGTTGACTGCGAACTTTTCCTTTTCCAAGTCCCCTCACTGGCACTGCACTCAATCATTTCTCCCACCACGAACCAAAACCAATTTCAGGTTCCATCTTCCATCTCATCCTGACTCTTGAGTCTTCAGCGTTGTTCCTCTCGTCTTCCCATCTACCTTAGCTTGCGCCTGTTCACGCCTATTGCGCGTGACTGTCTAGTCTCTCCTAATTCTATTTGGACGTCTTCGGGTGTCTGAGACACCTGCTCGACCACCGTCCTCTCTGCTTACCATCTCTCACACATCCTCTCTGCAGTGTCAGCTCAACGTTACTTCGGCTTCTCTCCAGCACACGAAGCGCGTCCTAGATCTTCCTTGCCGTCGCCACTGGCTTTGGACTGGCTCCAATTCGCTCTGACGACCGTCGCATGTCCTGTCCACCGTTTCGATACGCCCTGATGATTTGCTAGGTGCCGTCCTGTGTGACCAAACCAGCGACTCCAACCATTCCGTGTCTTCGGTTTCGAGCCTCAGCCCATTGTTCTCTGTGACCCTCCTAGTGTCTCTGTGCTACCTTACCATCGAAGTAGACGAGAAAGTCGACCCTCGTCATGGCCAGCAATATCATCGGCAACAGGAACAGTACCCCAGAGGCCTCGAAAACCTCACTTCGTCCTCCAAGCTCGCGCACTCTCGGTAACAATTCTGGTACACATTCGCAAACTGTCCGAGCATCAGCCGACATGTCGTTCGCATCTCCTCTCTCGGCTCGATCTATTCGTCCAGCGTCAGAGGTCCTCTACAATCAACAATCCCAACACGGCAGTTTGGACGATTCGAGCAAACTGGGCGAACAATGGATTCAAGACATTGAGCAGTACGAGACCATGTTGGAAGAGATGGCTGCTGCGACATTGGACCAGGATTTCAAGGATGAATTGAGTGCTATCGAACAATGGTTCCGCGTCTTGAGTGAAGCTGAGCGGACCGCGGCCACCTATGCTCTGATTCAACAGACCACCCAAATGCAGCAGCGATTCTTTGCGCAGGTTCTGAATCAGATGTCCAAGAGTCATCCGATTTCTGGCGTACTTTCTCCCGCCAACTTTGGCGAGAAAGATGCCATGTGCAGCCGCCTGAACGATGCCATGACCAAGTTGAACGTTGATGATCGGAGAACATCAATCGGTCGCCCGCCGTTGTCTCCCGCTGGGAATAAGCGCAATTCAGGCCTGGATCAGTCGACCATCAATGCCATGTTCCCGGATGCTGTGGCTGCCATTCAGCAACAAAGGGCAGAGTATGCGCAACAAACGGGCAACCCGCCGCCATCCAACAGGAATAGCACCATCATAGGGGATCGTAGCTCGCTTATCACGCCCACCATATCCGCGCCGAGGGAATCTAAGAGCGACGCCATGAGCTGGCGTCAAGGGGCAGAAAACCAGCAACCACCCATTTCGCGACCCAAGTCATCCTCCGGCCAGCATCAACAGCAACAGTCGCAACAGCAGCAACCAATGGGCCATTTCAGTCAGCCTCAGTCATCCGGTGGTCTTCGATCTCCCCGGCCTGGTGCGGGACAGACCAGCAATATTCAGAGTACTACTCTGACTGCGCCAGATCCGGTAGGAAGTGATATGCCGTTGCTGTCTCCGTACAATGTCGGTAACCAGAGTTGGGCCTCGATGACCAACACTCCGATGGTGCCCAATTTCAGTCAAGCGGCTACCCACAGTGATATGGTGGCCAACGCCACTGCGATGAAACTGGCTGCTCTTTCCACGGTGAACAACCGCATCGCTTTGGATGATGCCAAGAAATATCGACGTGCGAGATCGAATGAACCGCAGCCTCAGACGCAGTCCACCCTGTCACCAGGCGTGACGGCGTCGGGGATTCCGGGGATCAACACGATCATGGTCAACGATCAGGGTCAGATCCTGAACGCTCAACAAGTGGCAGCAATCCAAGCACAACAGATTGCCGCGGCACAAGGGCGACGATCTCGTCCCAACTCTCCAGGCCTTCCCCTACAGACACCTCTAGGTCAAACCAGTTTTGCCTCTCCTCAGCACAATGGCTTCTTGGCTGCATATGAGGGTGCGCCAATCATGATGGGAGCAGGAATGGCCGGCCTCATTCCTCAGATAGGCTCTCTCGGCGCAGAAGGGTATCTGTCTGATCATTCGGAAATTGCCCGTGGCCGTTCTCCTCGCGGACGTCGCGGTAGCTCCAAGCCTCCGGAGGACCCGACGGATCCTAGCCTGCTTCAAGATATTCCTGCATGGCTCCGGTCTTTGAGACTGCACAAATACACCGACAATCTGAAGGACTTGAAATGGGATGAATTGGTCCAACTCGACGATAAAGGACTTGAAGCACGCGGAGTGAATGCTCTCGGTGCGCGAAACAAAATGCTCAAGGTTTGTTCCCAACGACTGTTGTTGTAGGGGTTATACTAATGTTTATCCAGGTATTTGAGCAGGTGAAAGAAGCACAGTCGGAGGGCAAACTCTGAGTGAAGCGGCCATATATCGGCGGTGACGAGACACGCCGGAAACGGGTGACTCAAGCAGCGTGGATATGGTACGACTTTGGAGCTGTGTTGTCGTACGCGATGACCAGACGAGACATTACTATGATCATGTTCTGCTTCGAAGCTGGTATTTTGGCCGGACTCGGATGCGAAACATAACCCGCTCACCTCACAAAATGATTTTCTTTTTCTTTTGATAATCAAGAGGGCTGCTAGTTGCTGATACACTAACGGCCTGACCTGCGATATCTCGGCCATATTATTATGGTTGCTTTGCTCGAGCAAGCTTTATGTGGATGAATGACCTCGACGGTTTATATAGCACGAGGAGATATCCAACATAACATATGATTTTCTCCATTCGCAGCCTCGCTTGAGTTCTCTTATTCGAATTCTTCGAATTCTTCTCTGTCTATACGTCTATAGCTCTGACAGGGGTGTATTATCGACGATATCGATTTGTCTTCGGTGTCGTCAAGTTCGTAGCTGTCAAGTTGAGCAAGGCTGAAGTGGATATTTCAATTCAATGGCAAGGCGAGATTGGGGCAAGGCGACCAATCACGATAATCAGTCCACTGCTAGGATCACTTCACTTCACTGACAGCCTGCGGCCAGAAACTCATCCAACCTCACTGCATCCCACCGGCATCTCGTCTTGATAGCGAGCCACCTCCGCAACGCTACAAACGTACCAGGTCAAGCGACGGCGGACCGGTACATCAAGCTGCTCATAATACCTACGTACGGCAACGCGATTGACGTCGACACTGACACAGACACTGCGTGCCTTTCGTTGACCCTGCCGCCCTTCCAGTTTCGCTCATAGACCGGATTGATATACTTGCCCGTATCCAAACAGTGAATCGCGGCCACAAGTGGCAGCAATAAGGCAACGCCGAGTCTCCCTGCAGACCATCATCCTCTCAGCACGAGACTACAGTACACCACACCACAAGCCAGACAACCTACAACACAATGGCTCCTTCACCATACGAGTTATCTCTGGTTCTGAACCCTCTTGTGCCGGAGTCATTGACACATAACACCAGGGTAAGTTACTGTTCTGTATATACCCTGTGTTCGTGACATTACATTGGCTCTGCAGTGTAGCAAACACTCGGGTTCTGTTTTCAAGCACTCTCAGCGTTACCAGACACGACACAAGATCCAATCCAATCCCATGTCCCTCCTCCTAATCCTCCCTTTCTCCTTTTTGTTTGGCCCTTTTCTTCCTCTTTACCCATGACTATGACTAACTTCCACCAGACCCTCTCCAACATCCGCTCCATCTCCGGTCTCCTTCTCGGCATCGCCGCCGGCATCCTCGGTCTCGAGTCCCTCTGGGGCTTCGGCTTCTATCTACTTTCCAACACAATCATCTCGGCCCTCTTTTACTTCCTCCTTGCTGGCGCCAACCCACAAAAATATTTCGCCGGATCGACAGGGTCGAGGGGTCTGTATGAGAACGACAGCAAAAAAGGCGGTCGGAACCCCGGCACCGGGGCGTGGAGGGAGATTTGGTTCGGTGGCGGCTTGTTCACGGATGCGTTGAGTGGGTTTGTGTTGGGCTGGGCTGGTGTGGGAGGTGTTATTCGATGATAGAAAAAGGCAGGAAGAAGCGAAGCGAAGGCGGAGGTTGGGGTTCGGTTCTAGCTGGCTGCACTGCAAAACTTCATTAAGTGGAAGACAGACAGAACGAAAGGACATTTCGATCAGCAAAGCGATTGGACATGGTATGGCAGGGCGTGGCATGGATAGATACAAGGGAGGTTAAGCCAGAACCAACAAAAAAGTTCACAACCAGGAAAGGGCCCGTGTCGACTCGACTTGTCTCGAGGTGAGAGTCGCCCACTGCATACCTATAGGTACCTACGCAAAATTCAAATTGGTTCTGTGCTCAGTCACTGCACTCAACTAAATACTATCGCATACGCTACGATATGGTGGATTCGAGGAATGCGAAAGTGAGAAGTACTCTGCTCGCTTGTCGCCTCAGCTCTCGAGAACTGGAACTCAATCTTCTTTCAACAATGTCGACTAACAGGTCGTCCAAATATGGATATCCTCTCAGAATGCATATCCTATTCCCATGCCTACCTACCCCATCCTAGTAGTGGGAAGCGATAACCCTAAGCGCCTACTCCTCACCGTACGTTCGAACCTCACGCGAACACTACCGGTAACGAGGAAATCAGAAGCAAAAAAAAGAGGGGGAAAGAGAAAAACGCAAATGGTAGAAATCTAAAAATCTAGACTGAGGATTGAGGCCCGAGGATTGGGGACTGTAGACCGCCAGCATTGACTGTACATGAAGGTAGATATACATGCCACCTAGGCTATCTAGGTACCATATTCGAATTTGATTAATACCTTATACAGTCATAACAGCAAAGGTACAGTAGGTACATTATAGCACGATGTAGAATTTGAAGAGAGTAAGGTGGGTATGTAGGGACCTAGTACTTGTTTCGGGCAATTTTATTTATCTTGTATATATCCAAAATTATATTTGCACAATCTCCACTATCCACCATCCATCATCGCATAACAACAATATACTGCTACTCCATGCCTTCTTCCACGCGACTAGGATTAGTAGTAGGTCGTGAGAAGAGAACCCGAGAATGTGCAGTGGTCATGCTAGTATAACTATATCATTATTAATTAGGTAGCACTGCAGTGAGATAAATATCTGAGCTCATGTCTCTTGTTTCGCTGTTGGTCTGCTTCCTCGTTGCTTTGCTTGATTCAGGGCAGTGGTGCTTGCTGTTCGCAGCTTGTTGAGTCGACCGTGCCGTGTCACCAGCGCCTCCAACACCACCTGAGAGATATTAGTTGTATTCCCGTGCTGTTCGCTCCCAGTCAGTCAATCCAGCCCTGCCCCCTCCCTCGCCCAATCCATCGCATTAAGTTGCTGCCAAGTACAACTATCCCAGTCCCAGTACCACTCATACAAGATATGAATGCTGCCACCGTCGCCATCACTATGGTCAGACCACTGGGAGACCAAATCCTGTCGCTACCAGATCAGCGGGCCTGGAACCCAAAACCAAAGGGCTTCGCCATGTCCTCCGCCTTAAACTCATGTCCCGCAAGCCGCATGAAAAAGAAAAAAAGAAACTAGCAAACTCGTCCAGACATCCCGACTTGCGGCAAATCTTGAAAACACGCCACACAGATTAAACCCGACCTCGGCGTAGTGAGCGTCCAGGCATCGACCGTCTGGGTCCGGGTTTGACAGTGTCTTTCTCCTTTTCCTCTTTGCCCTCATTGTCCTCGCCATCTTCTTCCACGGTAGTAGTTGTTGCTCGAGCGTCCTTGCCGTGTCCTGCGTCGCCATCGACATCCACCGATCTCCTTGCTGCACTAGATCGTCGACTCATTCGTCGGACACTGGTCGGTGTGGTGGTGGTCGTGGTGATGCTCTTGTTGGCGATGCTTGGTGACTGAGGGATCTTCTTTCTCGTGGGCGCCTCCTTGCCCGACTGACCGTCCACAACAATCGTCTCTGAAGGATCCGACGGACTTTCTACTTGGGCTGCTCCATCAGGCTGGGCTAGTTCCTCAACTTTGATATCTTCGCTCTTACCACCCGCTGATTGACCGTTGATATTTCCGTCAGCTCCTTTTCCAGCATCTTGCTCGGCGGAGGAGGGAGCTTGTCCTTGCTGGTTGTCGGTGCTCTGTGGAGCGATTGCATTCTCAGTTGTGGTACCATCGTCTTGGGCCGGTTGCTTTTGGTCACGAGCCTCCAACGCCGTAGCTTCTGGAGCAGGATCCAAAGGCGGATCTGTAGACCCCTTCGCTGATGGCAAGGTTACCGAGGAAGCCGTAGGAGAACTTGTCGTTCTTGGGGCTGGGTTAGCCTCACCGGTCGCCGTTGGAGAAGACTTCGGCGCAGTGGCTTCGTCGGCGCGATCTGGTGGAGCGTGATCACCGTTGTTGATGGGCTGTTGTGAAGAAACACCTCGTGAATCTACATCATGTCGACTTTGTGTCTCACTCATCCCGAAATCACCTTGCAATCTTTTCGGCTCGGCTTCAGTTTCTCGTGCGAGCATGTACGAGTTGAGCCATCTGCTGCTCGAAAACGAACGCCCAGCAGGGGCTGGTGGAACTGGGGGTGTTGGGCCCACTGCCGACTGCTTGGGTTCCTCAACCCGTGACGCAGAATCCTTCTGTGTGCCGTTTTGCAAGGCTGGCTTTGGACTTGTCTTGGCTTCTTCCGACACAGGAGCACTGTCAACGGTCGAAGTCGAACTTGGTCTGTATCCCGCAGGTCTCGCTTCAGGGTCAATGACATAAGATCCTGGCGCGCGGTCCCCACCATCCTCTGAGGCCACTGACGCTTCTGAAGACTTGGTTTTTATCTTGTGGTTTTTGGGGTCGGCCATGGTCCCGGCGCTCCCCCTTCCATGAATCCGTTCATAGTCTTCGACCTCTTTGACAGGGACGCCATACTTCTCTAGTGCCTTGTCAAGACTCCCAATCGTGCCCTTCGGCTGAAGGTGATTCTTCACAATGTGGCATTGTAAGCCATGCACCGTGCGCCAATCAATGCGCGAACATCCGTCATGGTTGCACCGAAGATACATCTCCACCGGCGGGCCGGTCGGATTGTCCTTTGTCCCTCCCACACCGTATGATGTCCAAATGCCGCGGTTCAAGCTGTCGACTCGTTCACAATGGTGGTGGCGATTGGCGAATGCCTCGGACATCTGGTAGGGATGTGTCGTGGAAGGAGCGCGCTTGTTGGAACCAGCGGGATGTGCCAGGATGGCGCTGGGTGTCTGGTATGCATGGAACCGGGTATTTTCCATGCCATCACCCCCCATCGAATGGTTCGGTGTTTTGAGCGTATCTGTGATGCCCAATGGTCTCGGCAGTCCAACCTTGGGAAGAGGTGAGCTGGCGGTTGTTCTGGGGTTGATGGTGGCGAATCCTGTCGTGGACGGTGTTTTGATTGCTGTAAATCCCGTGGGTGTGGTGGAAGGCGGAGGCCGTGTATCGTAGCTCGACGGGATCTGTCGCGGCGGGTTTGCCGGCGTCGCCGGGTTTGTAGCCGATTGACTAGTCGAGCTCACCCGCGAAAGTGGTGAAGCCGGTCGACCCAGGTGACTAAAATGGGATCGTTCGGTTGAGGACTGTGACGTGTTGGCCAGACCATTGGTCGCGCCGCTCGGCGACACTGTATTAGGAGTCGTCGAATACACGGGAGTGATATGAAAAGGTCGTGCGTATGTGGCACTCGAATCTCGATGATACGAGGAATACGGCGATGGAGCTATTGAGCTCTTGGACGGCGCTGCAAGGCTGGATTGTGGCGAGGATCTCGACTGTACAGGATTGACAGAGTCTGGTTGGCCTGGAGGACCAACCTGATGACGTTTCGGCGGTGGCGGAAGAGTTGATAGTGTGGATGCCGACGGCGACTCAGACAATGAGGCAGGTTTTGTTGTGGCGCGTTTAGGCGATTCCTCTGGTGGTAGTCCTCGTTTCAACCGCTTCAGCCGCCGACGAAGGCTCTACTGCAGGTCAGTACATGTCGGTCATGGCAGCATCAGGTAAAAAGAAAAACCCACATTCTCTTCTTCCTCCAGCTCATGATCGAAGAACTGAGAAAAGGCCGTGTCTTCTCGTGTACGTCGGGCGTCGATTCTAGCGTCACGGCGTTGACGAGCCTCGACGATGGCCGCCCATTTCTGGTCCTGGATTTCTCGTTTGCGACGAATCTTGTCATCCTTGCGAGCACGCTTGGCCTTGAGCAGCTCGTACTTCTTGATGTTGTGCTCCTCCACACGCGCTAACTCGTCGAGACGAGCTTGGATTGCATCTGAAGACTCCAAGGCATGTCTTGACGGGGGAGGCGGAAGAGGGATTGGAGCCGTCAACGGACTGGCGAATCTGTATTCATCTCCTCCACCGACCGAGACATCACTATCCGAGCTTTCGGGTTCCATAGCACCAGCGGTGGTGGAGGGACGTGAGGCCGGCGGTTGGAACGGCCGAAGAGGAGAATAGGAGGACTCCCATGACGAGCGAGGGCGCTAAAGATGACATGATTAGCGACAACATGATTGGAACAAGAACAGTCGAGGGTCGAGGTAGATGTGACATGGGTGAGCGGGAATGCAAAGAGGCGAGCATCAATTTTCCAGGTCAATGTTCACGAGCATGGGAAGCGTTCGATAGGGCAACGGTCCCTCCCATGGACATTGTAATGGTTGGTCCGAGCTGAGGTCTTCCGACCAGGTGGGATTGATAAGGCGAATTGTAGTGTGGAGAATGGTCAGTGGGAGGTGAATGGATCATGGCATGGGTCACAGTCCAGATAGACGGGAGTGACCGGAAAAGGGAAAGCAGAGTGCCCCTCAAATCAAATGCGTGCGCCAACGGGTCGGACGAGGAGGGCGACGACATGGTTAGCGTCGAAGAGATGCGTGCAATGCTAGATGAGAGTAGCATGGTCGACCTGTCCCTGTGCTGGGTGCAGCCGATGATTGGAATTGAGAGGAGTGTTAAAGATAGTGATCGCGTGCGTTCTGCCTGGGTGCAGCAGTGGTTGGTGCAGCCTGTAGTAGTGTGTGTGTTGGTCGCGGGAGGCGGGTGAGTGTGTGTCTAGCGCCAGTGCGAACCGACTGCAAGTGGCACTGCAGTGGCCGGTGTGGCGCCAAGATAAGACAGACGCTGACACTCAGGCTGCACTGGCACTGCACCGCACGCCCAGGACAGGACTATTTACCAGTAGTAGTGCCACCGCAGTACTAACTAGTAATATAGTCCAGCTGCGCTGCGGTGGAGGCGGCCACCGACGCGTGTGGAGGTTCCAGTTCATCCCCTTCGACGGCTGACCAACCATCTCGGTTCCCCCGTGGCTAAAGACAGCCTAAGATCGAAGCCAGTGCAATCCAGTCCCCGTGCGAACACGCGGACAAGCGAGCGCTCGTCTTGGATGAACCGGGGTTAATCCAGCTCGCTAAATCGCCCGTCGCCATTGTGGGAAGAAATTGCAGAGCAATGCAGCAGTGGTGAGTGGTGCCGGGGTCGATCGTTGACGAACGCAGCCAAAAATTCTTGCCCTCCCACCTGACAGCGACCGCACGAAAGCCCCAGCACGGAAATGGTGATGGGAACAGTAAAAGATATTGACTGGAAAGACAAAAGTATACACGTACCTCTGAAGAAAGCTCAGATAACCTCCGCCCATTATTCGATGGTGGTCGTGGTAACATGTTGGATAAGGAATACCCGAGAGCCGGTGAAGAGTACTGGCGGCACTGCCGCCTCCTCTAATCTTGTAGAGCCCAAACACTGTGCGACCAGTCCAAGATCGAAAGAGCCACGGCCTAGGAAGTCAAGGTGAGATGCAGAAGTGAATGCGCGTCGAGAAGAATACGTTGAGGGTCAATGGTGACACAAGGTTGGCGATTTTGTTGCACAGTTGAGCTCCAAACGAGCCCAAAAGGAAGATGCGGAGGACTCGGACAACAGAGAAATATGGTCGACTTGGAGGCTGCCCGTCGAACAAGAATACAAGAATAGAGGCAGAGAGCCAAGCGGCAGATTGGCACCAAGAAGAAGCCGGGGAGTAAGAGATCAAGAAAATCAATATGGATGCGACAGACCGCACGCGGTATGGCGGCAAGCGAGAGTCGTTGTAGAGCCAAATAGATTGGGGAAGGGCCAAAGTCAAAAAGAACGGAATGGGAAGTGTAATTAATTAATGCAAAAGTGAAGAAGCCACCATAGAAGGATAATCTGCGGTGCCAATTGGGCGTAGTGTGATGAAGTAGCCCAGGATCCCAATCACAGGGGGAGAACTATTCTGGGGGCGGACACCGGCTCGGTGGGTAAAGGACGATCAAAAGGGTAAACGGTTGAAGGGACAGTAGCAGTGGCAGTCTCCAGTAAGGTGGTGGGTCGAACAAAGGTTTGAAGTTCAAGTTGTGAAGGATTAACCGCTGCAAGTGGATGGTTTGGGGAGAGATACGGTGCCTTGGTGGCCACAGGATGGCGGCGACCAGGCAGTTTCTGGTAGGTACAGAAAGGAGAGAAGCGAGGAGGCAGGCCGTCAGCACACCAGAAAGGGCTCAAAAATCACAGAAATAATGTGGTCATGATAGCTGATGTGGACGGCAGCGATGATGAGAGAAGCACGACGAATGGTGAAAGCGGGTTTCTCGCTTGATTGTGGCACCGTCAAACAGGAGGCGTGCGGCCTGGTCCAATGGCGGATACGGGACGGACATTGAGGGTATAACAGGCATACGACGTGAGATTGAGCCTGCATGGTGGGAGATACAGTATACGACTCCCTCCTACTAGTAGCAGGCAGTCAATGTTGAGCAGAGTGGTTCAAGTTGGGGATGGTGGTGAGTGATAAGGGTGGTTGATACTCCCTCTGGTACGTACTTACAGACCACTCATGCCCGGCACCTAAACATGCCCTGCTAGGCCTGTGGTGTCCTGGACACAGAGAGGTCCTATTCTTCAAGTCCCATCATATCTCAGATACTAGCATTATCTGGACAATGCCTGAGGCACATAACGTATCGAATATGCCTGCAGTGCCATATCACATTAGCTGCAACACTTCTCGCTGTGGAGACGGGGAGCGAGTCTTTACGTACATCAACCCGGAGAAAGCGAGATCAGCTTCCAAGTGGATCGCTGCCACTCGCTACCTCAGACCCAATCAACCCAATTGATAGTAATAATGCAATAATGCATGAATTCTCTGAGTGGTACTATACTAGAATCCGTGGTGTGTCTTTTTCGGGATCCAAACATCGACCAGGAGTCACCTCCACGCCGACCTACCCAAGTAGGTCCTACTAGTACTGTCTTGGCCTCACTGACAACGCTGCCGAATATCCATGCCTAGGACCTAAGCAATCAAGGCATGTTACCCAGTACCTGGTAGTATATGACCGGGTGTCCTGCATATACGCGGAGTCAAAGAAGCACCTGGCATGGTCCTACACTCGTAGTGCAGAAGAACGTGATTCGGGTCGGCGGTTAACCACGGCTCGATAATGGCCGAGAGAGTTCAACCTTGAAGCTGTATACAGCTAAGCGGGTCCTTTCTCATCGTGATTGCCACAGTTGCAGCCCTTCAAGGAGAGAACCTTAAGGGGGATGTTTCTGTAGCCTTGTGTTAGGATTGACTGCCGAATAAAATCCCTCGGAAGCCGGTATGATTGCTTTTTATGTTTGGTACACTAAGGTACAGTAGCAGCAACTCGTTTCGAAAAGACTTGCGAGCTTACTCCGGGGCAGACTACCTAGGTACGGGTGACGGGAGGAGCACGCACTGAGTGGAGTCGCCGCTTTGGGTTCTGGCGCTGGCCTTATAAGCTGATCCGTGTGGAGCGGCACGTCAAGCCGGAGATAGATACGAAATAGGAGAAGTATGGAATAGACGTCGACTGGCTGGCAGTTGACGACGGATAACGTCCACGAACTCCATACCTACTACTAGTACCAGGTGAGTTCGATGCGAACTCAGCCGAGGCTGTTGGTGAAGCACTCTGCAGCGCCATAGGTTGTGCTGTATAGGTGTACTACTGCTAGTCACCCACAGTCAGCAGTTAACACTCTATAATGGATCGCGATGGGGAGCGTAGGTTGGTGCTAGTATACGAGTACACTTCGGCGCTGGCACTGCCGTTTGCTCTGCTGCGGTGCCATAGATGCTATATGCGCTGCTCTATGCGCTGCTCAGCAATTCGGTAGCATCCTCGATCATGGTTATGCTTTCCACCGAGAAACACCTTCGTGTCTGTCAACAAAAGCCACTGCGGACTCGATTGCCGTTCAGGCTTCCCCTGACTCCTCGTACACACTACTGCCGACCTGACTGGGGTACCTAGGTACGGAGATACCTGCAAGCTTCGATAGCACTATTTTACTTTCTGGTGCTCGCGGGCGTCCATCGATCCTTGTTGTGACCAACACTGCAGGGTCGGCTCTGTGGATATCATACAATGCGAGATCTATCAGAGCTGCCGAATTCATAACATGAGCGGAGAAATTTCTTTTATTCTGAAGCCATCCCGATATACAACCAGACCGCGTATGAATCAAGACACACTTGCTCCCTAGCCTTCCAGGTTGGTCAGTGCAGAATGCTCCATACATACTTTTGTCCCACGGCAATGTTTCAATCCATGTTCCTCCCACCAGCTATCTAGCTCAAGATACAACAGGCTGACCGTGCGAGACTCCAATGTATGTATCTAGTCAAGATCCAGTAACAGTGGAATGCTTCTTCCAAAGCACACCGAGACAAGTTGGCACTCGTGATACATCGCAGGATCAGGGCAAAACAGGTTGAATGGTCGACCAGGACCAAAACGATTAGAAAAAGTCGAGTACAGGGATATCATTAAAATACATGGGACCGCTTTTGCCGTGCGCCGCCGTCCTTATTCACAATGTATGTTTTCAAGACTTCTGCTCGCCTTGGGCACCGGCGTCACCGCCAGGAGGAGTCTGCTGGGACTCCTCACGAGCCTTGTGCATCTTGTCGAACAGGGTAAGGGCCGTGGTCTGCAGTTCGTCGATCTTGGCCTTCATCTCTTCCGCAGTCGCCGTACCCTCGCCAGCTTGGTTCTTGGCAACGTACTCGCGGAGAGAAGCAATCTTCTCCTTGATGGCATCGGCCTCAGTCTTGTCGAGCTTGTCTTCAAATTCCTTGAGGGCCTTCTCGGTGTCGTTCAAGACGCTGTCGGCGCGGTTGGCAGCTTCGATGGCAGCCTTGCGCTCCTTATCTTGTGCAGAGTACTTCTCGGCATCCGAAACCATGTTCTCGATTTCAGAGTCCGACAAACCGGAGCCGGAAGCAATGGTGATGGATTGATCCTTGCCAGTCGACTTGTCCTTGGCGCTCACGTGCACAATAGAGTCGGCATCAATATCGAAGGTGACCTCGATTTGAGGAACACCACGGTGGGCAGGCGGGATACCGACAAGCTGGAAGTTGCCCAACAGCTTGTTGTCACGGACAAGCTCACGCTCACCCTGGTAGACCTTGATCTCGACTGCGGTCTGGAAATCGGCAGCAGTGGAGAAGATCTGCGACTTCTTGGTCGGGATAGTAGTGTTTCGGTTGATCAGACGGGTGAACACGCCACCAAGGGTCTCGATACCGAGGGACAGAGGAGTAACATCGAGCAACAACACATCTGTCACCTCACCGGCAAGAACGGCTCCCTGGATGGCGGCACCAATGGCAACAGCCTCGTCAGGGTTGACAGACTTAGCAGGGTCACGGCCGAAGATGCTCTTAACCGACTCGATGACTTTAGGCATACGAGTCATACCACCAACCAGGATGACTTCCTGGATATCCTTGGCTTGGAGGTTAGCATCCTTCAGAGCCTTGCGAACTGGCTCAATAGTCCTCGAAATAAGAGGCTCGACCAACTTCTCAAGCTGGGCACGAGTCATCTTCTGGTTGATGTGCTTAGGACCCGAAGCATCGGCGGTAATGAAAGGCAAGTTGATGTCGGTCTGCAGCGAGGAGGACAGCTCAATCTTGGCCTTCTCTGCTGCCTCACGGATACGTTGGATGGCCATACGGTCGTTGGACAGATCAATACCGGACTCTTTCTTGAACTGTTGCACAAGGTGGCGAACCAGGGAGATATCGAAATCTTCACCACCCAAGTGAGTGTCACCGTTGGTCGACTTGACCTCGAAGACACCCTTCTGGATTTCGAGAACCGAGATATCGAAAGTACCACCACCGAGATCGTAGACGGCGATGATGCGATCATCCTCCTTCTCCAGACCGTATGCGAGGGCAGCAGCAGTAGGCTCGTTGACGACACGGAGGACGTTCAAGCCAGCAATCTGGCCTGCATCCTTGGTAGCCTGTCGTTGCATATCATTAAAGTATGCAGGCACAGTAACAACACCGTTCTTCACCGGCTTGCCGAGATAGGCTTCGGCAGTCTCCTTCATCTTCGCCAGGACCATACCACCGATTTGCGAGGGCGAATACCGCTCGCCACGGGCCTCCACCCAGGCATCGCCGTTGGTGTGTTGTACAATCTTGTAGGGGACCTCCTTGATATCACGCTGGACTTCCGGGTCTGAGAATTTTCGACCGATGAGACGCTTGGTTGCGAACAGGGTGTTTTCAGGGTTGACGACAGCTTGTCGCTTAGCTGCCACACCGACCAAACGCTCGCCGCTCTCGGTGAAAGCGACCACGGATGGTGTCGTTCGGGTACCCTCGGAGTTTTCGATGATTCGAGGCACCTTGCCTTCCATCACGGCCACGGCCGAGTTCGTGGTACCCAAGTCGATACCAATAACCTGACCCTTGACCTTCTCGGAACCTTCCGCATCGGTCGAGGCATATCGAGAGAGTATTGAGGAACGAGGAGCTCGGATCTGAGAGATGCGGGAGATGGGAGATGAGCGCGGAAGCTAGATTGATCTTTCGTTAGACGGATGCATAAGGCGAAGTCGATGGCGGCTTGAACTTACAGCTCTGGACAGTCTGGAGGCAATCATGATTGCTCGAGTAAAACAAGACGCACGGGAAGAGAAACAGATGATGGCGCGAGGACCGCGACAACGACGTGAAAGAAGGAGTGCGGAAGATGAAGGATGTGGTGATGAGCTCAGTAGACAGAGACGGAGCAGATGTAGTTGATGTAGTAGCAGCAGTAGTAGATGTAAAAAATTCCTCAATCGCCGCCGTCGGATGAATCAGCTTGAAGGCGCTCGGGCTTGGCGACACTAGGACATTCTGCGGGATTCTCTTCCACCACAGCGCAGGCAGTGGACAGATCATGACAGGCGCAGAGTGGGCACCTAACCCGATAACCGCAGTAGCACAATAGGCGCGTGCTAGGCTTTTGGTGCCTATAAGCAGCACGGAGTCTATAGTATACTACTGCCTGGAGTCATCTCCACAGTTACACAACTCCTCAGCCTAACACGCCTATACTGCCTGGAGAACCACCGTCACTGGCATCATAATTACTACCGCACGCGCCACCACTTCCACTCCTCCTTGGAGTCTCGAGGTTCCCATTATTGCATCACACTGCGCACACGCCGTTCCATCTGATCTCTGGTTATCCATACAACAACAGTCTATTACCGGAACCACCGCAATCAATCACTGCCATTACTCCCTGATCAATCTCATCCTACGACAGTGCATCTCACCCTCCCATGCGTGGCCCTTCATTTTCATCATTGCGTGCTGCGCATTCAGCCTGACCAAGCCCGCCAACTGGTGAGACATGCGTCTCCCGTCCTAGATCCCAAACCCTCCGCGAGATGACGGTTTCCGACCATGAGATCTGCTTCACGCCGACAGATGGACTGGCTAGGCCCCAGAAATTCTACCCTACCAAGATATCTGTACCACATCATCAACTGCGGCACTTCATCAGCACGGCAGAGGGCAATCGCATCTACTATGTCACCGGTTACGATGTCTTCGTCCTTGACCTTGAAACCCACGAAAACTCCCTTCTAGCCACGATTCCCTTCGAAGCAAGATGTCTGGCAGCAGATCTGGGCTGGGTGTGTGTTGGCGGCGAGGTCAACGGAGACTGTGCTTTCATCAAAGTGGAGAAAGACCAACATGGGCATCCGACCTGCTTCGGACACGACTTGGTCGTCGATTTATTAGGTGGTGAAATAGTGAACTCCATGAACATTTACAATGTGGCCAATGATGGGAACGGCCCAGACGAACCGGTCGTGCTGATTAGCAACAACGACAAATCGGTCAAGCTTTATTCTCTTGCACAGCGGCAGGTCTTGACGACTTTAACACATCCCGTACCTATGAATTTTGCAGCCATGTCGCCTGATTGTACCATCATTGCCGCGGTGGGAGACTCGGACAAGGTTTATTTCTACAAGCGACACCTTGATGAGGACTTCGATCTCATCGACGGTTCAGCCGGCAAGTATCCCAAATACGACTGGAAAGTCTTCGCAGAGCCAGTGGTGCCCACGGGAGACCCTGTCTTCGATGACTACAGCTTTGCCGTGGCATTCTCGCCTTCTGGACATCTGTGTGCTGCTTCGTCACAGGGCGGTTCCATCAGCGTTTTTGACATGGAACGGCTGATGCTCTCTGATGAAGCCCCGGAGAAGTCTATTCTGTGCAGTTTCAGGTCTTCCCGACCCACATTATTGGGTTGCGTGAGAGCAATGTCCTTTTCTCCTGAGCCGTGGGATATCCTAGCGTGGGCGGAAGACCACGGGAGGATAGGGCTGGCTGATGTGAGAAGAGGTTTTGTTCGCAGGCAGATTCTGAACCTGGACCAAAAGTCAGTAGAGATCGTGGAATTGGAGGACGGCACGCCCGTGGCGTATCGCAATTTAGGGGTCAAAGACCGTTTAAAGCAACAACATCTTGCGCGCCTCAGGGCAATGCGAGCCATGTCTACACGTGACATAGACGAGGAAGCAGGTATCGTTGACCTAGGAACCGACACCAATCGACGACTCGGCCGGCAAGATCTCTTGAGCTACCATCAGGGCCTGGATCTCGACGCACGGGAGCGATCTGTAATCGAAGCACTTGAAACGACAATGGACACTGTTTCGCATCTTACATCGCGGCCTTACAGCATCAACTATACTTCGTCGCCTCGAATAAGAGATTCTATGACCTCTCCCGATGCCAGGAGGGATTACGAGGTTCATCTTCTGAATCCAGGGGCGCGGCGGACTAGTGCTTCGCAGCCTCAACAGCCCAGGAGGAGGTCGTCAATCGTCCTCTCAGAGGCGACATTGGCCGATCGAAGCGCCGGCCAGAGTAGGTATCTCGATTCCGGTGACGGCCAAAGAGCGAGACTTTCGACATCGCCCGGTCGCATGGACGAGGAAGACGAAATCTCGTTCATGCAAGTTCAGGAGGGAGCTTCAAGAAGCACTACGGGCGGAAGGTCGAATCCTCGGAGAGCTTCTAGCAGCATTCCCCCGTCTGATCCATGGCACGTTATACAGAATGCGCTGGAGTCCGCACGCGAATCAGACAACGGTGACCGAGTGAATTTGAGATACATTGAGACTGTGCTGGAAGCTGAGAGACAGCTAGGAAATCAGATTGAGCGGCAGTTAGCTGACGAACGGCAACTGTCAAGTCTCCTTCGAAGGCAGCTTGATACTCAACAACGGCTTCTCAATGAAAATTCTGCCCAACTGGATCACTTGCGGGCGGGCGCTAGGGAATGGAATGCTCGCCTTGAAGCGACGCTCGAACGTGTTTTGCAGAGACAGCTGGCTAATGAACAACGCTTTACTCAGCAACGGTCTCAGGAACTCCGGAGTGAGTTGAATGTTGGCACGGACTATTCCAGACGACTGGAAGAAGAGCGAGCAAGGCTGCTGGGCACAGACACTGTGACACGCTCAACGACGAATACCGGATCCACCTCTTCAGACTCGACATTTGCTCAAACTTCGGCCCTTCCCACCACCAACGTTCGATCGCTTGAGCCGTCGGACAATCTTACCCATATCTTGACTGATTACAGAGAATCGAGTCGACAACGGCTTGCGCATATCGAGAACCTCGAGCGGCAAGTTCGTCGAGCCGAAGCGAGAGTGGCACAGGCGACATCGGACATTGAATCTCTGGAAAATATCATCCGAACACGCGACATCCGCGGCGACGAGGAAGGTGGAAACAGAAGACGAACTGGGACTGAAGGAATTCAACCGGTCAGAACAGCGGCAATCACCATAACAGCCAGACCAGACTCGACTCAGCCAGGGAGTCCGCGATCGACTGCTACTCGTCGGTTGGCAGCGCCGGTCATCAGAGCACAGTTAGCAACCGTGGACCGCCTTTCGGAACTTGCAGGTCGAGTTCCAGAGGCGGATATGCGGCTTGCACGGATGATGTTTCTGTCTGGCATGTCGGGCAATCGTGCTCTCGATGCCAATGGGAACTGGCTACCTGGGTCTGGGCTGCACCGCGTGGTTGTAGGCCCGTCGGCTTTAGCAGCCTTGACTGGGACTGCGTCCGTATCTGGAGCATCGCCGACAACGAGTGCGGAGGCTCTAAGAGAGATTGGACCTGGGACTGCTGGGATAGGCTTCAGTCCCGACGGACAGTTTCTGTAAGTTTTTTTTTTTTTGTTCTGACAAGACAATCGTGGCCAAAGATAGTATTTGCTGACTCTCGATCCAGATACGCAGGTACTGAAGAAGGCATATACGAGTTTAAGATCAATCTCCGGGACCGCATGACGTTTCCAGCCATTGAAATGAGGTAGAGGCGGCATCGAAGTCGGCCTCTGATACCGGTCTGAATGGGACGTTCGAGCTCGGGCCCGGACTAAAAGGCGTCGCAAACATTGGCTCATCATGTACCCTCACGAAAAGTGATGATGTGGCCAACATTTATAATCTGGGAGGCTCAGGTGACTGAACTGCTTTTGCTTTTGAGCGTTGCAAATCACTACAACAGTCTCTTTTGATCCGGCTTGACCCGGTTGATGCACGATTTGTATTGATATAATATGGCCTTCCTATAACTAGCACAACAACACCGAAGGATATTGTTAATCCGGCCTAAACCATGACCCCGTTCATCCATCGCCTGTATAAGAGGGCGGAAACCCTGAATGCTTTCTTTGTACACGCTGTAAATAGCTAGAGTCTGTGTCCCTCCACACTGGGCTTTTTACGACGTCTCGGTGGACTCGCCCAGGACTTCCTGGGACTCGAGCAACAAAGTAGTGCCCTTTTCTCGGGTGAGCTCATCCATGGACTTGATCTTGATCTGCATGACGCGGAGCACCGTGTACTTGTGCTTACTGTGGACGATCTTGCGATGTCTGTTGCGGCGCTTCTTCTTCTCCTTGTCGACCATGGGTCCGGTTTCGAGACCGATGACACGCATGCGACACTCAAACAGCCGCTCGTCCAAATAGTTGGGTTCGGCGGTTCGTTTGGCGTCGTACGACTCAGTATTGCTTGTGCCAGCCTTGAGCGTGTAGTCACGCGACCCCAAAATGCTGGCGCGGTTGAAGCGCAGAACGTCACCCGGCGAAACCCCCTTCATGTGGAAAGGAAGGCGGAGCACGTCTCCTTCGGTCAACAGATACGGAAATCGATGGACATGTGCCACGATGTAATGCGGCTTCTGCGCGTGTAGCTTGGGAAGCAACTCTTGTAGCGATCGAGATAACACGAGCGGCCGCGAGAGGGTGGTGGAGCCGGTGCGGCTGCTGGTAGTAGGTGAGGAGGAGGACGAAGAGTCTGTTGTTTCTGGAGTTGGTGTGGTTTCAGTGGTTGTCGTCAGGAGTGTACTCGGCGGGATTTCTGGTTGAGTGTTGTGGAACTGGGCTGCTGAACTGGCTGATTGCTGCGCCGTCACCACCTGGTGTAGTTGTCTTGTGCGGAATGGAAGAAGGAATTGCGGGAGTGTACTGCCGCTGGCAGTGCGTGGTGAAATGTCCAATGCTCTTCGAACAAGCGTTCGTGATGAGATATGATGAGACCGGCGCTGGAGAGGTTGTTGAGCGGCGGATCTGTACAACGTCCAGTTAGAAGAGGGACACCAACAGACAAAAAATGATGACTGATTGCGTGGTTAGTTCCTAGGTACATACCTTTTGGCTACTTGCGAGGCGGCCCTCGATGGCATGGAATCAAATATACATTTGACCATGCGCCCGCATATGCGACACATGGTGGGCAGCGCTCCAAGCGAGCTGCCTGGCTCTAGCGGCTCTGAAGCTGGTGGAAGTCTTCAAGCAATAAGGACAGCCGCTGGAACGTTGAGCCGGCGAGGGTCGACTGTCGTGTGTCAAAGTGCTGCTTCGTGGATTCGTGTAAATTGCAGGTCTCATCAGCAAAGCAGCAATGTTGGAATTGGAATTGGAACTTCAAGTTGAGATTCAAACGCGGAAGCTTGGCTGCGTTCTCCGATTGGCACATGCCGCCTTTACATACTCACCCTAGTCTAACCATGTATGCTCGTAAGTTGTCGCCATTTTGAGGCAACATCATCCAGACGTACAGTGTAAGTTGTAGTAGCACGTTCTAGATGTCCTTCAAAGCAGTGGTGTTTCCGGGATAATTATGAATTAACAACTTTCGCTACATCTTGTGGCCCCAGATGCCGTCCAGCGAGTACACCACGGTGGGCACGGGCAAGCTCAAGCTCAAGGGTGTCAAAGACTCAAAGGTGGACAAGAAAAAGAAAAAGAAGCTCAAGCCCAAGGATGAACAGGGAACCAACGCCGGCGACGGCGACTCTTTTCAAGACAGATCTGTCATGCTGAAAAGTCTGCAAGACGAAGACGCCCAAATCGCCAAAGAAGAGCGACGCGAGGAGGACCGGTCGAAGGGCAAGGAAGTGGAGACGGGCACCGGCGACGAGAGAGACGACGACAGAGTGATTGTCAAGACAGAGGCCGAACGACGGTACGAAGAGCAACGGCGAAAAAGGGTATGTTATGTTTGCCTATGTGTCACTATTGGTGCTCTCTTCATAAGGCACCTGTTATGCGTTCCATTGCTGACTTTATTGCTATGACACAGTTGGAAGAGCGGCTCAGGCGAGAAGGCATCAAGTCCCACAAAGAGCGCGTCGAGGAGTTGAATCGCTATCTGAGCAGTCTCAGCGAGCACCACGACATGCCGCGCATAGGACCGGGATAACGCTTGTTATTCATGGATGACCTTTACGATTTGTACAACATTATATGGGTTGCGAGCATGAACATACTTGCCTTTCGGCCAATGAACCCCATCAGCGCAACTCTGGCACCGCTTCAAGGTCGACTGATTGACTCTACGCCCGTGATTATTCGATTGGTTTACATAATTTCAGCCGTAGGCCGTACAAACGGCACCTGGAGCACCGCTTTTGAACACCAGCCTAGAATCTACTGAACACGACGAATGAGACGATTTGTTGTGAATTGCACTCTGTTTCCGCTTGTTGACTTATGTACAATATTTGATCGCTCTAGAACATCCGAAGCAGCATCTACTCCTCCGCAGCGGTCGCCGCTCGCCCAGGTTTCGAATTGAGGTAGTCATTCCTGTCAGCTGTTAGTCTCGGAGTTCCCACAGATGATACTCTTCTTCAAGATCCGCCACTAACTGTTCAACAGCCCAGTCCATCAAAAAGTATGCCAACACCAACGGAGGCAGCCAGTATAGAATTTGGTGCTTCGTGCGGCGGTAGGTGTTGAAGACGGCGTTCTTCACGATTCCGGCCAAGGGGTCGTATCTGTTGGGAGAGAGTGTGTACGTGACGATCCCTTTCTGAGGTTGCGAGCCTATCACAAAGGATAGTATTAGTTTGCTGTGCCTTTTGACGGAGCTCTTCGGACATTGAGTCCACGCTGGACTGGATGCTTCTTCGTACCAAAATCTCCCCACCATCCCATGTATCTGCGCGAAATCGTCAGTTATCAATGTTACTGCACGGAAGTCCTCCCAGCAGGTCGAGAACGGTGTTTGACGTACACTCCATTCTTTGGGTCAGGGTGCTGGCCACCGCGCAGCGGCTTGGTCGCTTGTAGTCGCAGGGCCCGGGTGGCCTGGAGGCGCAAGGCTGGGGTCGCACGCATCTCGAACGAGTTCTCTCGTAGTTGTTGCTGAGCTGTTTCGTCGTCAGAAGGACAATGGCCGGAGAAATCGATGATCGCAGGTCGAACTTGAAGCTGGCGGCGGAGCTGCAGTCACGGGACACTTGGCGGCTGCTTATATAATGCAGCTACATAAGTCGCAACTTGAGGCTTCCAATTGGTCAATTGGTACTACTACCTCATGGCCAAAAATACACGCCGTACCTTGCTGTGATGAATGTCCGGAGGAGCACTCGAGCTCAACTGCCGCTTGGCGCAGCGTCTCGATCCGAAGCTGCGGAGGAACTGCACGGCACCAAAATGTCGCCCGTCCATGACATCCACGATCTCAACTTGAAGTAGTAGCACCGCGGCTCTCATCCACCACCGGCGGCAACCCATTGCCTTTAATCATCTTCAACTCTCAATTGAACTTCAAGGTCCGATCTCCCAACAATGGCTGCCCCCAACGTGCTCAACGCCATTTCCCGATATGCCGTGCCCGTCTTCGTCGCGGTGTCGCTGGGCCAGGCGGCAATGTACGACGTCAAGGGCGGAACTCGGGCGGTCATCTTCGACCGGATAAGTGGTGTGAAGGAACAGGTCGTCAACGAAGGCACACACTTCCTGATTCCGTGGTTGCAAAAGGCCATCATCTACGATGTGCGAACTAAGCCCAGGAATATCAGCACTACCACCGGCAGCAAGGATTTGCAGATGGTCAGCCTGACGCTGAGAGTGTTGCACAGACCGGAGGTGCAAAACTTGCCAAAGATTTACCAGGTGAGTCCTGACCGGTGTTGAAGATCCTTTCCATCATGCTGACGCCACTCTAGGCATTGGGTCAAGACTACGATGAGAGGGTTCTCCCGTCCATCGGCAACGAAGTTTTGAAAGCAATTGTCGCTCAGTTTGATGCTGCCGAGTTGATTACCCAGAGAGAGGCCGTTTCGCAAAGGATTCGGAACGACCTTAATGCTCGAGCAGCCGAGTTTAACATTGCCTTGGAGGACGTTTCCATCACCCACATGACCTTTGGCCGAGAGTTTACGCGAGCTGTCGAACAAAAGCAAATCGCCCAGCAAGACGCAGAGAGGGCAAGATTCGTGGTGGAGAAGGCCGAGCAGGAGAGACAGGCCAACGTCATCCGCGCCGAGGGTGAAGCCGAGGCTGCCGATATCATCAGCAAAGCCGTGGCCAAGGCAGGAGATGGCCTGATCCAGATTCGAAGAATCGAGGCAAGCAGAGATATTGCCCAGACATTATCCGGCAATCCAAACGTCACATACTTGCCAGGTGGCGGGGATGGAGAAGGCAAGGGAAAGAATACTGGACTGCTGCTTGGATTGCGGGCATAATCGGCGCAGTCTTAACGAGCCACGAAGGCGAAAAAGAAAAAGCTATCATTGCACGACTCGGTCGCATGGCCAGATGCCTGATCCCTTGAAATTGTCTCGGAAACACGGGAGCTCTTGGAGGTTGCAGCTCCTGTCATCGACCTGTATCATGCTCAAACACAACTCTCTTCCTGCTGTTTTGACTTTGCTATTCCAGTGTAGCATTATATAAAGCGATCGGAATAATGGGACCCGGGATTCTCACCTTTCTTATCATCTTTTTTGGTCTACTATCCGAGGTGATAGACCGCGCACATCTTCCAGCCGCAATCCATTTTACTTCTACTAACACGGCTGAGGCCGCTTCAGCCGATGGACTAAATTCTTCAGTGTGTGCATGTTCCAAGCCCGCACTTTCCGCGGTACGTGTCTGATCGACCCTCCGAGTCTGCACACGACAGGAAATCGGGGGCACCCTTACCAAAGACTGCCGGGATTGGACTGGTTCCCATCAACACCGGAACCTTTAGTGCATAGTGCGGCGTGTTGTGATTGGCATCGACGCATTTTTCTCTTCTTCTGCTGATCTCGTTTCTCTGTTTGGCACCGCTAACCGTCTCACTGACACTTTCACAGTGTGGATCAAACGAGGGCTCTGCAAGATACCGTCAATGGCTAGCCCTTCTGCTCCCCTTCTGTTGTGCTGACATTAAATAGACACTGGCAGTGCCTGGGTAGCCGCCAGCAACGATGTCAATGTCGCAATGAACCGATCCCCAATACCAGCAAACTCGGCTTCAGCAGCAATATCGAGAGCAGGCAGTACCGCCACCGGTTCCATTTTCAAGACTGTCGAACGTTGAGCCACCGCCACGGAATGACACGACGGTGAGACCCGACACGGCTGAGCTTCGACGTCGCCGTTTTGCAAAATAGCAACAGCAACAGCAACAGCAACAGCAACAGCAACAGCAACAGCAACAGCAACAGCAACAGCAACAGCAAC